GGCGTTGAATCGAAGGCCAAATATCATCATCCTTCTTTCTGTAGATTCCCGTGAGTGCGGAGCAATGGAAGGCACGTGATTCAAGCGATGGAAACTTCGACGGATTGACGATTCCGGCGGAGCGTCGGAAGGCCCAAGATCTAATGGTGGAAGCTTCAACCAATTAGCAAAGGAAGGTACAATTAACAAACTTAAGTGACGAAGATTGATCTGGCAGAAAGTAACATTGAAGTAAGTCAATTATTTTTCCCCCTTCTCCATATCATTCCCGATGGGTAATTGTGAGCCCAATCCTAATACTATGGAAGGTGTTTGATATTATTTATTGGTAATACTAATTGTTTTATCTGGGTTTTGACTGATGGTGTTCGTCAATTTAAGCGCATTAATTTTATTAAATTATTTCATAAATGGTTGTTCATAGATCTGGGTTGTTTTAGAATTCAAAAGCTCGATTGGATGTTGGAAAATATTTGTTGGTAATTGCATAGTTTTCTGCTGGTGAGATATGGGAAGGGGTTTTTTACAGTTACTACTCTGTTTAAAACCCACTAGTATTATAAGTCGAATATCACTTAAAATCTTTGCTTTGGTTGTGTTGCAGGAACTGGAATTGAAGAAGTTTATAACTCATGAAGTACCATTCGCGGATATTAACAAGGCATTTGAATTCATGCTTAAAGGAGAAAGCCTCCATTGCCTAATTCGGATGGAGTGAATGAGTGATGAATTTGCATTTCTTTTAGAATAATCTTCTTTGACTTGGAATTGCACTAAATGGCTCTGGCTCTGTATGTTGTGTAGTATTCGTTGTACATTTTTTTTTTTTGTTTTTAATTAAAAAATGTTAACTCGAAACCATACACAACTTAATAACTCGTGTTGAACTACTATCAACATTGGATTTAAGAATGAATTTACAAAGGTTAATTTAGATGACATAAATAAGAACATAGTAAATGATCTTTTCCTCTTTCAGCCATAAGTGTTGAAAGTTGAAAACAATTATAGTGCATAGGAGTTTCCACTTGTATACGAAGAAGAAAGAAGAAAATAACTTATTATGAAGGCTGATCTACATTTTTACGGGTAACTATAACAACAAGTATGGGGAAAAAAGAAACTCCTAATTCCTAATTAGGGTAGTTGGATTAATTAATGACGATGAAGTTGATGATCACGCACTCACTTTTATTAGAACCAACCTCCTCAAATATAATCACCTAACTTGTAAGTATTTTAGACTCAAGAAAACACATATTTTTGGGACAAAAGAAGATATTTTATTTTATTTTTTTGGCCATCTTATTAGGCCGCAGTATTTTCCTATATAAACCGTGGATCTTCGTCATGAATTGGCATATTATATCTGAACAAATTATATACACTAAGAGACAATTTATACGGTTTATATGGCGGTCAATAGTTCTTTTTCACCAATATCTCTTTGTCTTGCCATTATCATTCTCCTAGGTAACTGCAAACTATAGATTCTTTGCCTTCTTTTCTTTTTTTTCTTTTTTTTTTAAAAATACATCGATCCCTTTTTCAAATTGATGATTCAAACTATTCGTTTATTGTTTGCTCCACAACCATGTCGAAGTTCTTTGATGTCATTGTATCATTGTTTAGTAATCATGACAATTAGCCCGTATTTCGTTTTATCAGTAGATAATTAGTAGAATGTCTTCTGTTTTTGGGGGACAATAATAAGTTTATGAGACAAATATATTAAATTTGAATTATGAGTCTCTAATTATTTCTCCATTGGATTTTGTTACGTAGGACTACTATGAACATGACATTTTTGAGGTTTAGGCCAGTTATACGTACGTCTCTATTCGCTTATTTTTGTACTAATTGTTTTCATCATTAACTTAAATTGACAAAACATACAAAATTCTGTTCTTTTATTTCTCCAACTCTATACATTTTCCGAAATAATTTGAACGATAACAATAAATGTAGCGTTACAACAATTTTTTTCTTGTGCAGCTGGAGGAGTACTCATGATTGATGGAGCAGTATGCACAAAAGAACTGAACGAGCCAGGATTGTGTCCCTCTCTCCACAGTCCAGAATGCCCCAAAATTTGCAAACAAAATCATGGTGGCTTTCAGGGATTCTGCAAATACGTTAGGAGAAGGTTTCCCTTTCCGCGGCTGCGTTGTTTTTGCGAAACACATTGTTAAACAACCCACCCCCTCCCCCACCCCAAAAAAAATAATAATAATAAAATTAATATGAGATGCTTAGCTTGTATTGGTTCAGATCACTCTTATTTATTCCTTCCGTCCCTAGGTTATTGTCTAATATAAATTTTTATTTTTTAATTTAAATTGTACTAAAGTGAGACTCCAAGCTGAACAAGTACAAATGTAGCATAGAGCTAAGGACCCAATGATATGCTAGTGAATTTTCTTGATATTTAAAAATCGAATTCTATCTTGGATGGGGGTACGTATATACGTGAAAGCCTATCTAATGAAACTTCACCTTAATGAAATTTCAGTACATTAAGTGTTTCTAATGCCAATATCAATATTTATCATTTCATGCATTACCTCAAGCGTTGTGCCCTTTTTTTTCTTCTGTTTTTCTATTTGATTCCACCATTAATTGATTTTCTTTTTCGCCTCCGTAAAGAAGCAAAGAGTGAGAAAAAATGGTATCCCATTTACGTTGGGGGGGAGGAAGAACCCCTCCATTTCTTTTCTTTTTTTTTGGTATATTACACACTCAATGTCTAAAGTTATTAATCCGACTAATTTAGATTTGAGCTGGGTAAATCCTTTTCCGGAGGCAAACACATAGCCAAATTTCATTTTTAAAAAAATAAAAAATAAAAAATAGAAATCCTACATAAGTACTAATGTGCTATTTATTATACGTACGATATATTGTATTGAACTATAAAAAAACTGTTACGTGCATAGATATGTTGCGGGTTGACACGGACGCGCGCTATCTGCATAAGTAAATTTCTTTAAGATTACAAACTTCTGTAAAAGGTTTATTTTCCAGTGAGAAGTTATATGAAATTTTGAACATTCACGCAATGAAACTTCAAATAGAATTATTATTTCAGAAAGAATATAAGTTTATTCATTAGCTAATGCAGTTTCATCAAGCACAATGCTGTCATATGGTGTGGATTTGTTGGCTTACATACGTCATTTCGATAATTTTATCATACAAAAATATGTAACATGAGGGGATAACATTTTTTTTTGTTTTTTTGGATAACAATAATAGACTCTCGGAAGTACTTTATTACAAGATAGTGTTAGCATAGTCTTAATACGTGCATTAGTGTTACATTTGAAAATAGTTAATTTTCTATTAAATGGACTTCAAACACACCACATTTTATAGGAGCAAAGTGTAATCATATCACTTGCCCATTTTTTTTTTCGATACTAGACAAGCTATCATATCATTTCGATCAATTATAATCAAGTCACCAAATCATGATAATCAAATCAAAGATCTTAGTTCCATCCATTTATCACCAAATTAATCACGATTGTTAAGCGATCGGACCCAAAATAAGAACTGCATATGATATACATAAATTTATTTGTTGAAAATAATTTTTTCATTTGATTACATGGTTACGGAAAAGAAATCTTCTCGTTATTTGTACCAACTTGTTCTTATATTGGGAAAAAAGTTTGAGATCTTCACAGTGAATCATGCACATATATATCCAGTATCAATTACCCCGATTCATGATTAATTCCAATTCATGATTAACGGATAAGATCAATGTTTTTTTTTTTACCTTATCCAAATTTCTTAAATGTGCATCTTCAGAAATTTCAAATTTTATTAACAGGATGGTATGAATTAGCAAAAAAAGGCTGAGAAATTGAGGCTACAATATTTTCCTATATAAACAGCACATCAAGAATTTGGATAATCTCAGAACAAATTGTACTCTCACTCTCGATCGGAGTTTAGTTAGATATGGCTGTCAAGACTTCTTTTTCATCACTCTTCCTATTTCTTGCAATCATTCTCCTAGGTAACCCCAAAATCTTTAATAATCTTTATTTTGTTCATCATCTTTAATCTCGACATGTTTTTGAGTCTCTTTTGCTTTTGTTTCTTCTCAACTGCATAAAGAGAGATATAGAAGTTCCTTTGGTACGTATCATGTTATATAGGAGAGCCGATGATCTTCTCTTGTTAATTTCATGTTTGATGGTCTAATTAAAGACTGAAAACTACCATAACTCATTTATTTGAGTTTTTAGTTTTTATGTAATTAATGTTTGTAACTTTATTAGGGGGAAAAAAATGTCGTATTTATGTTGTGTCATAAAATGTCGCACTTAACGTACTGTTAATAGTTTCTGACTTTTACTAGAGAGAATGTGAGTATTTTCTTTTGCACGTTTAGGTGGGGCAGCAATTATCGATGGAGGAGTGTGCAGGAAAGAACTCGATACAAGATTGTGTGGCACCCTGGAGGATCCAAGTTGTGACAGGATCTGCAAGCAAGATGGTGGCATTCAAGGACTCTGCAAATTTGTTGGGAAACATCAGCCTTTTCATTGCATCTGCAAATATAGTTGTTGAAGAAATATGCTTTTTCTATGATAAAATAAAAATTTAAACTATAGAATTATTTTGAAACATATAAAGTATTATTCAAACTGTTTTTCTGGTCCTGCTATAATTCCAAAGCATAAAAAACGGAGGAGAAATGAACAGAAAATTCGACAAACGTAATTGAACCCTCAATTTTTTCTTTTTCTTTTTTTTTTCTTTCTTTCTTTTTGGTCTGTGGAAAGAATACTTGATACTGCCGTGGAGTGTAAGCCATGAGGTCTGAAGACATAATACGAAGGCGTGATTCCATAAAGCCTGCTACCCACATTATTACATTTGTTCGACAATACAAGTACTATATATTAATCCAACCAAACAAAAAATTTAAAAACAAAGCCTTTCCATTTTCCATTCCGAGACAAAAACTAAGTATTAATCCGCCAATGGCCAACGCCATCTTTCCCGTCACCGCCGCCGTTGTCGTCCTCTTCGTCCTCCTATCATCCGCCGCTTTCATCCATTCCAAACCCTTCGCAAGAAGTATATCGAAAGCCGACATAGGGTTGGAGAACAAGAAAGAGAAGTTGACCCACTTGCACTTCTACTTCCACGACATCCCCAGCGGGACCCACCCGTCGGCCATCCGGGTGGCGGAGGCGCCGACCACCAACTCCTCACGGACGGGTTACGGCGCGGTGGTGATGATGGACGACCGGTTGACGGAAGGACCCGATATCGGGTCCAAGCTGATCGGAAGGGCTCAGGGTTTTTACGCGGCGTCTTCCCAAGAGGATTTCTCGTACCTGATGACTTTGAACTACGTGTTTGTGGAAGGCAAGTATAATGGGAGCACTTTGAGTATCTTGGGGAAGAACTCGGTGTTCGATAAGGTTAGGGAAATGCCGGTGGTCGGAGGGAGTGGAGTCTTCCGGTTGGCTCGAGGTTATGCTCAGGCCAAGACTGTTGTGTTTGATCTCAAGTCCGGTGATGCTATTGTGGAATACAACGTCTATGTTTTCCATTACTGAATATTAATTAATTATTAATGTTGTTGTTAAGAGGTTTTAAGGTTGCTCTTACTTATTTCGTGTTAAATTCGTTTTATTACCACTTGAATTTTATTTATTTATTTATTTATTTATTTTGGAAAAGTTACCACTTGAAGTAAGTAAGCAGTACTTCATCATGTTCAGGACGTGGATTAATTGCTGTGTGAACCTTTTACTTCTTTAATGGTTATAGTTGTGTTTTGTGTTTATATGTATCATTTGGTTCCAGAAATTGCTATTTCAAAGTCTAATTTTCATTTGCTTTATTAATTATGATAAAGAATGTTTGACTAATCAAATCAAATCATGGAAATCGGAGAATGAATAATGAAATACTGGAAAGGGCCGGCCGATTGTCGCTGTTTTAGATTGTTGATGTGAAGGTTATGAGCGCACTAATTAATTAAATGTGAGGTTTTAGAATGATGTTTCTTTCTTCAAAGGTATAAATGATGTGTGGTTGATTAATTTAGTGTTGATGTTAAGTTTGTGTACTTAGTGTACTGTCCGATTGATACCAGTGATTAACTAATTAAGTGTAGGCATATAATTGTTTTGCCATCTTAAGTTGTTTCCATTCCATCATCAATAGCTTAGGGCGTGGGGAGAAGGTGTCCTAATTAGAATACAAAGAGAAGGATACATAAAATTTGTTTCTCAAAATTTAAAATGCATAATGCATAGTTATAGAAAAAAAAAACCATCATTACAATGGCTAGTTTGGCAGCTCAGGTCCTGGAAGGTTACAATGGCTTTAAAGTCTATTATCGAAAGCCATACCATAGTTAGAACATGATGTAATAGAGGTATCATACCCTAGAAATGTAATTATCTAGATATTTATCTCCTTCTTTGTAACAAAGGAAAAAAAAAAACCCATCATTACTGTTGTAAATGTTCTCCACCGTATCCATAACATCAAAGGCCAACTCGGAACTCGTAAGTCAACGATTGAGCCACCCCAACACATTCGACTCAAATGTAAAATAAAGACACGGTTGTTTTCATTACCAATGACTCAAACGTAAAACAAAACAGGATCTATTAGTTGTAATGGATTAATGCATAAACAAATCGTCGGTACTTTCTAGACCTCTATTTATTCTCTTAAAAAAATTTTGTAATAAGACAGTGAAGAACATATGATACTATCATTGTTTAACTATGCTCAATTGTGGTGACAAATTCTATACCTCTTATTGTACTGTCTGTAACTACTGTCCGTGCAGTGCGCAGTAGTTTCTAGAATATATACTTGAACCCCGAAGATGTACGGAAAATTATGATGTCCCAAAAATAGGAGTAAAGAACCGGCAGTCATTTTGGAAAAATTGTATGGTTAATTCACTCATCTAATCCATTTTAGAACTTCTGGTGATATCCACGGTCGCACTAAATAAAAGTGGCCCCTTTTCAAAAATAAATAAATAAAATTGGCCTCATATAATAGATATATACATATAGAAGTATATCCGTTGATACCAATATTTTTTATTACATGCAAAACATGTGATGATTTTATATGATAAGATTACTCTCTCTTATTGCTCGTTATTACGGTCTAGAATTTTTCTTATTATTATTTTTTGTATGAAATTGTTTTTTCATTCCATATGAGAGAAGCTTGAATACAACCTCATTTTATAGAGTTAAACAAAACTCCGTGAGTTATGCATCACATACGAAATACAATCGCGAACATTAGTTGGTATTAAACTGTAATTAGCTAAAGTTGACATAAAATTGAGACAATTAATTGCTTTTACAACTATCATTATGTATCTTAACTCATGATTACGTGCATCTAAAAGTACATAATGTTACCTAAAAAAATGTTCGTGATGTTTCTCTGTCATGAATATGTACTTCAAAACAAATGATCTTTCTTTTGTGAATATACTTGAAGAAAATCACCTAATCAACTGGGGTTGGAAGGTGGGATGGAAAAGTTAGAAGTTAAGATGCGTGGATTATCATGAGATCAAAATTTTTAATTTTTTCTTTTTTATTATAAAGGAGGCAAATATCTGAAAAGCCTATACTGTTACAGCACACACTGATAAGATCATGAGGTCAAAAATTTGATTGTTGCTAAAAGTAATACATTTTATAAAATTAATGATAAACTACTAATATGAACTAAGCATAAGAACGAAAGAGAAGAGATAAAAGAGTAAAGATAAATAAGAAACTTGTATTTAAATGTGTTTCTGGAGCATGAATGAGCTTCCTATTTATACAAGAGGTTGGGTACCACTTGTAATCTCGATCAAGGGAAAAAGACTACAGCGTGGGTTACTCCCCTTATTAAGTACACCACTTGAAATCTTCTCGTTGCAGCCAAGCTATTGACCATGTTTATGATCGTTGAAGTCAATAATAGACAGATTACTTCGACTTCTCATGCAGACGATCGTCTTCATATACCTATATAATCTTGAGTGTTTTATAATAATGAAAATGCATGACCATCATACCTTGAAGGTATCAATATACAACATCCAAGTCTTGACTAATTGATTAGATAAACCGAAACTTTATATGGTACTTCATCAGGACCAAATCGGTCTACATTATTAATGGAAAGTCAAGAAGAAGGTTTAATATACACATCAAGATTTTAATCAAGTGCATTCAACAGTTGTTGAATATACAAAGGTCAAACTATTTAGACCGACATTCTACTCAAAATCTTTCATTATTCTTGCTTCAAGCAAGTAGCAACCTTTTGAACTTCCTTAGAAGTGTTAATAACTATGATATAACTCAAGAGTTTTATTTATATTTAGAATATTTGAAATTCGTGATAAGTTTCGATAATATTAAACCTTTTGAAACTCTACAAGAGTTTGTTACTAACCAAATTACAAAACATTTCAATCGTTTATCATGCGAAATATGATCATATAAGCTCAGAGAAAATCGCAGGCAATCACACAATAGACAAGTATGATATATCCAAATACATAAATAAGTGCATAAATAATTATATCTATTATATTCAAAAATATGAACCTAAATATCTAGACACATGAAGACACTATAATTTGCGTAAGTCGTTCATATTAATTTTTTGAGAATCAGAACCATGTCTCTTATTGAATCTTTCAGGATTTTTATATAAATGCAATTTTCAGATGACAATTATCAAGTATTATTTCAAGTAATCACTATATTCACAAGACGCATTTTATTTCTTCATTTGCTGCCAGATTCAGCAAATAACGAAAGAATAAATATTTTTCATCCACCACAAAATAAACCGAATTTTGAGAAAAAAAAATTGTGCCACAAAGAGGTTGCTCGATAATCTTTTGCATAATCACCTGTCAAAATCTAGCCGGTAGATCACTTGCCAAACTTCTAGTTCGCAAGCAATTTCAATTCTATGTACACATCGTCAAGTATGTATTGCATCATTTCATTTGTTGTGGCCAATAAGTTTAATGTCTGCATCTACAACAAACTGTCATTTCATGATCCCCATTTGCATTTATTTTCTAACTACTGCAATATAAGCAAATTTCATGTCAACATTTTGTTACTGATCGATTCCATCTTTCTTTGATAAGGAGATCTCAACAATCATTAAAGTTCCCAAACGCTTTTATACTTCTTCTGCAAGTTGATTCATCATAGAGTGAAACTATTCAAATTTAAAGATTCTTATGAATTCTAATTACTCGTATTTTTCATCTATAGATTTACACTTTATCATTTACGAAGATTTTTATCATTAGAATCGATGGTTCTACCACTCACCAAATGGACATCCAACTAACAAATAGTAGTAGGTAGTCCTTCAGAGACACATTATCGAATTCTAAGTTTTAACAGCCTTTTATATAAGATATATTTATATATTCGGTCAGGTAAACATCTGGTCTTAAACATTATCTCTTGAACTTCAAGTTCATATCATCGGGGATCATAATGAGATAATTATATTGTCCATATGATTTTATAGATAGACTGTTTTAACTTCTCCCCCTGATGTTAGGATAACTAACTCGTTAAAATGACGATTAACCAACCGAGCAGTTAATAATCTCCCTTTTGAGAGTAACTAACTCGTCAAACTAATATGATCAGTTCATCGAGTAGTTAATCAAACACCAATAATTTGAAAAATTAAAGATTCAGTATTCAACATATATTTCTAACCTCGTCTGGAGGCTTCATCTTTGTGTGCATTGTGGTGGAACAATTATCATATATAAACTGCACATTTACATATCTTGAAGATGGATATGGATGGTTTCTGACCGAAAACCAATATTTGGGAGAATATTTAGAATGACCCGTTCGGTCTTACGCATATAATTGGTGCCTTTTTGTGTTTCAACACTTCCTCAATTATACATGAGATAATTACTTTAATTGAACACATACAATAAACGATTCTACTAGACTGCTTCATTATTGCTCTTATAGGCACGCGATGTTCAACTTCCTCATTCTAGTATCGAGCCATACACTCACCTCAAGTGTTCTTGCTCTTCAGGAGCACAAATATAATTTTATTGAGATATATAGTAACTAATTCTCTACTGAAGCATTGGTTTTATCCAATTATGTATGCTCTTCTAGAGCATTCAATCAATTTTGTAGTACTGGCTATAGTACTAATATGAGGATTTTTCAGTTAGGAGAGGGGAAAAAAAAATATTTCCGGTTGTTAAGTATAGAGTGAGCAGTTACACTGTCTGCCAGACATAATTCTTTATCATCCATGGTCTTTAACAATTAAAATAAAATAAATAAATTTTAAATAAGCACAGTATAAAACAATTAAGAAATTTAAGGATAACATATTATTTGTAAAGTAATAAAAATCCTAGAAAATGATGTCTCATTCAAAACCTCTATTAGGGAACAATAGGAAAAAGAACTAACAAAGGAAAAAGAGTATATTTTCATTATTAATTTATTCCTGGACATTTCCAGGATCAAATGCACCTTCTGGATGACTACCAAAGAAACCTGCAACATCTAGAGACACAAAATCAGTAGTGCCATTGCCAACAAGACCATGATTAATAAAGTTAGTCTCTATCTTCTTCTCTCCTTTCTTTACTATTGACTGATAGAGATCAACAAAATATTTTGGCGAACGACAGGTACGAGCCCAATGATTTGTCATGCCGCAGCGATAGCATTTACTGTCACCAACTTTCGTTTTGTTTCCATCATCATTACTTTCCAACTTCTAGTGGGTTATAGTATGTTTGAAAAACCCACCACGAGCGCTAAACTAGTTGTTTCAACCACGACCATGACTACGTCCATCCCCACGGCCACAATTTTGTCCATCACTGAACCACACAACTGTCGCATTTACTTTAGGAAATGCAGCAGTCCCAGTTGACGAGCCTCGTGGTTTTTCAACCGGAGCTCATAGTTTTGTTCAGCAACCAGAAGAACGGATATCAATTTCGAATATTTTTTAAAGCCCTTTTTTCACGATATTGCTGCTGCAGGGGCACATTGGAGGCGTGAAAAGTAGTGAAAGTCTTCTCCAATATACCCTCATTACTTACTTTCTCCCCACATAATTGCAATTGGGAAGTGATTCGGAACACCGCTGAATTGCATTCAGTAACCGTTTTAAAATTTTACAAAAACAAGTGCATCCAATTATGACGAACTCATGGAAGGATAACGGTTTTCTGATGATCAATCTTTCAAATTGAGCCACATCGTGGATGGATCTTTAATAGTCACATATTCAGTTTTTAAGCCTTCATCAAGATGGTGACGAATAAAAATCATGTCTTAGCCTTGACTTGATTTGTGGCATTACTACCAACTCTTATGGTATTCTCAAGACCACTTGAAGTGAGATGAATCTCAGCATCTAGCACCCATGACAGATAGTTTCCCCGAAATATCAAAGAGAACAAACTCAAGTTTCGTAATATTATTAGTCATGGTGCTGCTATTGAAAACTGTAAATAAATCAAAAATAAATTTTAATACAAACTTCAGGGACCATATTAAAAAAACAAAATTTAAGGACTAAACTGAACAAATAAAAACTTTTGGGGTACAATCTCTACTCAAACTATTATTCAAAGTTCAGACCAAGAAACTAAGTAGGCATAAAAAAATCATGCCCCCATCCGGCATTTGTTTTTCTGTTCCCAAAATTTTTCTTTAATTAAACAACTAAAGACAAAAAAAATAAAATAAATTTGCTTTGACCGAAATTTTTTTCACACAAATCAATGTAAAACAAAATAAAGACAGTGCATATACTTATAACCAAATTCACATATAATATAAACAACCGGAAAAATCAACCACGAAAAAAAAACAATGATTCAGCGGTTAATACAGTGATTGTGATTAAAACCTCATATAATATGAATCATGTCTGTTTTATTAAATTTCATGCTTAAGGAAAAAAAAAAATCAACAAGAACAGAGCCGTGCATAAGCTTTTCAAATCAAAGTACCATAATGCATATAATAATCAAGCAAAAAAAAAAACACACACACACACAAACACACACACACGAAACAATGTCAATAATAACCGCACAAAGCAATATAATTGGGCAACCCAAAAAAAATATTCACCAGTCTTCAGCAATATAATTACACCAGTATAAGGATATTAATTATGATGGCATAAGAACAAGTTGGGTTTGGATTGTATAATTAACTTGTCTACTCGTACAAAAGTAGAAAACTAGACCAAAATAAATTAACTTGTCTACTTGTCTAATAAGGCCAAATCAATTAATTAATATTCATGCACCAAACCGAGGCCAAAACAAAACGAGGTCATATACCAAATCATGCGCGTCTAATACAAAGCTATGCAAATAATGTGCATGTACATATAAACGAGGCTATGCAAATCTGAACAACCCGCAAAAAAATTGATGTTGCCGTCGGAAAACAACAAAGCTCCGGAAACTTTTCAATCACAAAACCTAAATATTTATTGAAGACTTCAAACTTTCAGTATTAATACACACCAACTTCAAACAGTGATATTATTAAACTCTTTAGTTAGAATTTTGTGCTGATAACGTTTTATAAAATTAATGATAAAATACTAATATGAACTAAGTATAAGAACGAAAGAGAAGAGACAAGAGAGTAGGGAGAAATAAGAGACTTGTATTCAGATGTGTTTCTGGAACATGAATGAGCTCCCTATTTATACAAGAGGTTGGGGATCAAACTCTGTGAACCAAATAACTCTATAAATAATGCTAAATATTACAAAATCCTATCTCTGTAATTGTGAATACAATAATACACATTAAAGGGACATTCAATCAAATCAACATATAATTTCATAACAATATAATTATTATAAAATTGACCCATTCAACGGGAAAAAAGAAAAGAAAAAAAAGGCTACGAATTGGGCTTGTAGTACACCAAAAGAAGTGCAAAAGGTCTTTAATTGGGCCATTCACAAGATCAAAACCTCCACATTACCTGTCCGATTATTTAGGGACCCTAATTAAAGTGAGACTCAGCCCAAAATACTAAGGAGGAAGCCCAAACCTTATCAAACTTAAAAACAAAAGAAAAAACCCCTCTTAAGTCTTAACCAAAAGTCCCCATACGAGAGAGATCAGCAGCCAGGTTTTAGCAGAGAGAGAGAGATTCTCACCGATTCTGTGAAAATGGGGACTCGAGAAGTGTACGAGCAGAAGCTTAGAACTGGAAATATGTACGAATATGATCCTACCATGAAGCCCGGACTCGGCTCTCCTCGCTGCCCTCGTTGTCTTTCCCACTTAGACCGCACTGCTTCGGTAATTATCTTTCTTTTCAGCTGAAAATTCTTCCTGAATTGTTGTTGGCCTTTTTTGTGTTTGATTTTATGCTCAAAAGAATAACATAATTTGTGTTTTTGGATCGAATTGTAGAGGAAGGAAGAGTGGACGATCACCCCTGTGCTCCACGACGCCACTGTGGTGGTAAGTTTGTGAATTTATCGCCTGCCCTGAATTGAGAGATTGTGAATTATTACTGTTATTATTTCCTCCTGAGCTGTTTTAGGTGGATGATATGGATTTGTTTTTCAACCTTTATTTAGTTATAAATATTAGTTACTTGATGTGAGGTGGGTTTTGCTTGAGGTCGTTTATGTTCGGAAAGAAACAAAAAGATTGCATCTTGGCTGCAATTACATAAAATATTTCTGTGCAAAGAAGCTCCTTCTTGTGTGGTTTCTAGGAAATGGTCGGGGACCTCGGGTCAAGAGGTGATCAGGAGGGAATTTTTGAGCTAGTGCCTGATTTATTCATTCATGGGATCCTCATATAAGAAACAAAATCCTACTATTTTTTGTGCAGTGAGTTGATGTTGCTTTAATTGCTAGTCACTGAAGTAAACACCACATTTGTCACTTTTGCGAAGTCTGTAGTTTCGTCACAAGGAATTACAGTTACTATTGTTGGGAAGAGTTTTTGACAACCTAAACACTTCTTAATGAGTTAATGTTATCTTCCATGTTGATGGAGCCGTAGCTAGTTCATTCATTAACACTCGTCTAAAATTTATGATTCAAAGTTTGAATCTATCTGCTTTGGCAACTGTTCATTCAGCTGTCCCAACTACATCTGTAAAGATCTAATAGCAACTATGCAGATTATATGTCAGACTCAATGTTATGCCAAACTGAATTGTAAATTCAAAAGATTCAGTGTCGTATGCAAGTTTTTATGTTGCTGTGATATTTATTAGATTAGCATCTCATGGAACCTCTTCTAATGCACTAATAACTCCCTAGACCCTGACTTATCATTTTACCTTTTATTACAAACTGCCTTGTGCACATAGAGTTCTAGCTAAAATTTCCCTGCCAAGAAGCTCTGTCCCCTTGATTTATGTTGATTTGACCCTTTCAGTTTAGTTAGCAGTAATTACTTGTATTTCTAAATTTTTTGGATAATTTTTTGTTATTTTGGTAAGTTAGACATCTCTGACACCCTCTTATGTATTTTTAAATAGGCTGGATCAGGAATCGGTGGGCTTCTTAGTGCAATTCATGGGTTCAACACAGGTAAATAGGCTGTTTGTTTTGTTATTATCTGTAGTTCAGATCACCAGTCAACTCTCTTTCTCATTTAAGCGTGAACTTCTTTTAGGGATCCCCTTTGTCCAGAAGCATGTCAAAGGACCAAAATGGCTTCCTTTTGTAGTTGGGGTAAGATAGTCCTTGGCACATTTCGCAGCATATCCTTTCGGCAAGCTCATCTCTTGCACTTCGTTAATACTGCTCTCTTAATTGCTATGATTCTTTCAGATTCCAGCTTATGTTACTTATGCTGCGGCTAGTGCTGCATTTGGAGGTATGTTTCTTTGCTGCTATGGTGACTTCACTTTTTTTATATGTTCTTTTCATGTGTTATTTGTTATCATGTATAGAATTATACATTAATTAGGATTTTAATGAGTTTAATGAGTCTAGCCTAGAGGTCAGCCTTTCTATACTAAATTGTAGAGTAAAAATAGCCTAACCTTAGCCTAGTCAATAGTCTGTAATTATAGTAGGAGAGGAATTAGCCTAGACTATAGTGAACCTGAAAATATCTTAGCTTGTCTATTTAATAGAGGAAATCAGAATGAAGAGGCATTGAGTCTTTCAATCAAATTCTTGGTCTTAGTTCTCCTATGTTTTCAGATCCTTGTCTTAGTTTCTAATATTATTTCCATGGTATGCTTGTCAATGTCATTTTTTAGTTAACACGTAATAGTATTTCTGTTTTCCTTTCTCTGTCTGTCTGGGATTTTAAGTAATATTAACATCACCTTTTTTTCTTTCCCTTTCTCTTCCTTTCTAGGATATTTTGCCGTTCATATCGTAAGTTTCAAATGATTAAATGCACTGTATAACTTCTTGGCAGGATATGCACTTCCCAGATTTACACAACTCAGTGTTACCTCATACTATGCTGCTTCAAGTGCATCAAGTTACTGCATTTCGTTGATTACCAGACAGATTGAAGACAACCACATATCCCGCTCTCAACATGAAAGACTTGGATGAATGATGATAATCAATCCTTTTTTGGTATCTAACTTGGTCTACAGGTGCACAAATTTATCTTTTCCTTTGTTTTGTTTCAAGGTAGAACCAATATGTGAAATATGAGGATGATGTATAGTATTGCATCCTGGAACTTGTGTGTAAATGAAATAAGCTCAAATTCTTGTCAGTCCTGACTGTGGCCCTTGAAGGCATTATTGAGGCGATTTAACTCTACTGTGCAAGTGACATAATTTTGGTGTTCTTCATATCTAAGTAGATTATATCTTACGTTACAGTGTGAAATTGCCAAGGTGATTGTCCACCTTGTCACATGATCAAGATTCATATAGTAAATGTAATTGAAAAGCATGATGATGCTTTCTAATAGAGGGCAGGAGTGGACCTGCACAGTTTGCAGCGTACGTTAGCATGGGATGCTGTAGGAGAGGAAAGTGTCAACCTCATTTAGCAAAGAGCTTTATAGGGCTGTGGGCCGATGTTACTTAAATTCGAATGGGCTCCAAAAAGGCAGATCTATAGAGGGAGAGGGCTGAGGAAGGGGGAAGTGGTCCATCATCTGAATTTTTCTGAACTCTTTGTATGTCTTTATTGTGTCCTTTTGTGTGTTCCTTACTACTTCTCTTCTCTTCATTTGTCTCTGACTCCTCAGTTAGTCCCCCACCAATTTTCCCCATTTTATTTGTGAATTATATACACTGTTGGAGAAATTTTGGACCTATTTGTTTTTTTAAAACCAGATTCTCCCCCCCCCCCTCTTTTTTTAAAAAAAAAAAAAAAAAGTCCTGGTGGAATTCAAACATCCAACTTTTTAGTTACAATCTCTTACTTTTACTATCTCTTCCAATTGTTGCATATTATAGCAATTATTTGTAGAAATATTTCCCATTGGATTTTGTGTATAAACTTTCAAGATTCTAGTCTCTAGTTATGTTACTAGAAAATCTAGATTCAATCAGTGGGAACAATATGGTTTAGCCTGGATGGAGCCTAGTTGAAAAATATTTTGGAGAGGGTGAGAGTTATTATGGTTTTGATGTGACATGAGTAAAAAATTGCATGTGGTGAGCTTGCAAACAATTGATATTCATAGTTCCAGCGGTTGAATGTCTCATCTGATTTTGATATGACAGTGTGTTACGAACCTAAGAAGAAAAAGAAAGATAGTGACATTGTGAATTATTAATTCCTCCGATCAATTTATAAGGTACAATTTTTAATCAAATGATGAGACCATAGGAGAGTATTGCAAAGAGTTTCACGATTACGTCCTCAAACTACATGTATCATTAATAAATCACCCCAAAATTTGGAAAAATTGTCGATGATACATACTCTTACCGTAAACTACATGATGAAAACTCGCATAAGTTTGCAGTGAACGGACACATATATAGTACTACCTCTGATTCTCAATGCCTAAAATGTCTTTTGTTAGCTTTTCAACGTTGTTACGAATATAGACAGCTAATTTTACCTATCAATATGCAGAGAAAGATTGGCAGTTTTTACAAATCATGAAGATGTCAATGTACGTGGCTAAACCAACAAGATAAAAACAGAGAATACAAAGAGTTACCGCTCCCAAAGTCACTCTGTTTACATGCATCTTGGTGGAAAAAGAATGTTGATATTCCTCCAATTTGATCTTCATCACATGTGCATAATCTAGAATTTGTGTTGTTCCTGTTTTCTTGTTGATGTGGAGTCACTATAATATGTATTCAATTTTGTTTTTAAGGAATGGACCACTATGAACAGGAAGTACACAAGTCTTGCCCCAAGTACACTTTCAATGCTGTTGTCCCCTCTAAAACTACTGATGAAAACAAACACTAAATACTAATTCCTACCTTCTTCCATTCATCCTTTTGTTAGTGCCCTTTTTGATGCATACATTTGACAGTAAATTGATCGAACTAACTGCTCTTTGTTTTCACAGAATTATCTCTAGTTTCTATGACATACCTGTCCATTTCCTTATACTATAGCTAGCTCCAATATTCAAATGCAGATATTGATGTAAAAACGCGTCTCATTCCAAGTCCTTTCACATTTTGTCCTCGCTTATCTGTTCATGTATTCATGTATACGAAGAACATCACGATATATACCGTGAGGTGAACTTTACAGCTGATTCACTTGTAGTACTGACATTTACTAATCCCGGAGGCTTGCTTTGGTTAGGAAAACCATCGTCTGTTCTCAAACCATACTTGGAACTTGAAACATGATATTGTTGGTATGTCTTATCAACATTTTGTAATATGCTAGTTTCTTATGCAATTGTCTCCTTTATTGTATTAAAAAAAAAAATTCACGATACCAAATTAAATAATCATCATATTGGAACGAAAGAATGAATGCGAAATCAATCAATTTTAACACATAAATGTGATTGTATTGTTACAAAGGCCATTACTCATCTCATAAACATTAATTACAAGGGTCCTAATTGCATGAAACCCTGGATTTCATTTTTTCTTTAAGTTTCGAAATTGGAATTAATGATTAGTTAGTTAAATGTATACAATCACCAGGATTAACTGTATGCATCAACCAAATTAAATGGTGGCCCTAAATTTGCCACCTTTTGATCATAAATAACTGGTTCCTGGTGGAACCTCAAAAATCTTGGAGTAGATCCGTCCTTATAGAAAGGCTGCAGAGATCATTTAAAGCTCGAAAGCTACATTGCCTAAACCCGGAAAAAAAAAAAAAAAATCTCATCAAAGAAACCATATTCTCCTTTCTCTTTCTCTTTCAATCTTTTGTATAGTTTCTACTTGAGGAATTAGAGGGAGAAAAAAAAAAAGAAAAAGAGAAAACAAAAGTTTCTGAAGAATGTTTCATTAAAGAACCAGAAAAATATTCTTGATTAACTACCTCAACATAGAAACAAAATATGGAAGAATTAATTAGCTTTAAATTTTCTATGCATTATTATATACAGAATGTGACGGAAAGCCTGCTGATTCTCAGTCTCAGCTTATTTAATTCTTCCTTTTCTAAATTTATTCCCTCAGCTATAGGTATAAATCACACAATGCATCAAAATTTTTCACACGTGGGTTTATCCAAACTATATGCTCTAATTCTGGGAGAAGGATATAAGAAGGAATAGATTTCTGCTGATAATTGCTAATTCTTATATATGTATATATATAGATATATATACAAGGAAAAATGTCTGCAAGATGTGCAACGGGAGAAAGAAAAAACATAAAATAAAACTATGAGCTATGAAATTTTAATACATGGAATAACTAGTTGAAGATGGTAAATAATTTCACCACATATGAGTATACTTGCAAATAAAAAGCATACTGACAGATGAAATCAATGTAAATTTCATATACATATCACTTTGATAATTAATATTACTTTAGAAGTAACAATTCCAAGAAGCTAAACTAACTCTTTCGAACTGAAGAAATAAAAAAGAATGAAAATCAATTCAGGCCTGGAAAACGCTTTGCCTCTGATCAAATAACAAAGGTTTTTTCTTTTTCCTCTTCCTTTTTCCCCCATTGATGCATGGGGAAGTTAGAACTATATATCATCATAATGTTTAATGAATTACTTATAGATGGAGGTCCAAACTCACAGGATGATGATCTTGCAACATCATCTTAGTAGTAGACTTTGTTTCACACCCTAATCCAAGTTGATGTTGTTGTTGTTGCTGTTGTTCATGATTTCCAAGCAAGTTAGGAGCTGAATGGTGATGCATCAAAGTAGAAGATGATCCATTATGGCTATTATGATGATGGACTGGATTATTAACTCTCCAAATGGCTAATGGGCTTCCTGTGATGGGTGGTGTTGGTGGCTGAATCTGATGATGATGATGATGATTATAGGAAGAAGATCCATGGCCACCGTAGATCAATCTTGATGAAGATGATGATGATGATGAATGGCCAGGATAAATGTTGTTTCTTCCACCACTCCAAGAGTGATGATGATGATGATGGTAAGCTAGGGCATGAGCAGCTGATGAAGGAGGAGTTGTTGACAAAGTGGTGGCGCCGCCTCCGCCACCGGCAAGGCGGTGGTGGTAGTTCATTAGGCCATATTCTGAAAACCCTCCTCCTGCATGCATCAAAGCTGATTGAAGATGGGCTCTTTTGGCATGCTGTCTCTCCCTCTTGTGTGCATTTTGATGGCCTCCTAGGGCTTGGGATGTTGGGAAGTTTCTACAACAATAGTGGCATTCGAATTTCCGGCTACTTTCGCCGCCTCCTCCTCCGCCTCCGTTGTTGTTGTTATTGTTGTTGATGCTACTATCATGGCTGCTGATATTACTATTGCCAAGATCTTTATTTGTTAGGGATTCGGCTGTCGGTTCTTCATCTATAGTTGTAGTACTAGTTGGAGTATTATTGAAGGAGGAGGAGGAATAGTCTCCTCCAAATTCTTTGCCAAAAAGCCTAATAATGCTGTTGTTGTTATTCCTTCCTTTCTCTTTGTTTAACGGTGTTTGTGGCGGCGGCGGCGGTGGCGCTGGCCTGATGAATGGAAGTTGAGAGAAGGACTCAACATTCATGAAGTCATGAGTCTCTACTCTTAATTGATCACTCTTCTCCATCAATATATATCTTTTAGTAGAAACAAAGATAATGAATGAATGAACGGATGAATGAAGTGAATGGAAATTCAACTGAAATATGGGCTCAATGTTAATGGAGAAGAATTAAAGGATGTTGATGGAAGATGATGAGATGGAGTGAAGAGGAGGAAATTGAGGAAAATATTGATGATGATTATGTTGTTGTTTTTGTTCTACTGAATTTTGGCTTTGCTTTCTTGCTACGTGAGGAGAGGTAAGAGGAGAGGGGTCAGATTGAGTTGATGAAGAGACTAGCCACTTGAGAGAAATTATTATAAGGTTTGAGACTTGAGAGAAAGGAGAGAGTTTGAGAAGGTGTTTGTGAAAATGTGTGTGTTTGTAGTACAAAGCTAAGTGGGACAATTGACAGCAACAATTCAGTGGTCCAGCAGTTGAACTCACATAAGAGGATGTATGTGGGGATCGAGTTTCACCAGTTACAATTTCTATAGAGTAGCCGGGAAACATGTGTATATGTCATCCTTAAACACACACACACACACACGTTCAACTATAGGCTTTTCTCTATTTGATAATTTTAGTCATTGGTTATAAAGAAAAGTTCCATCAAGGTTATTATCATCTTAGATTAATGGCTTTGCTTGCTCCATCAACCTCATCATTTCTATAAACTTTGTACTAAGTGCATGACAAGAAAATCTAATATTTTTCGTGTTAAGATCGTAACAAAAAATAGTTTAATTATGAACCGTGTATATTGATCTGTAAATTCACTACTAATGATTTTGATTGCCTCGAGGAGCTTTTTTGGCCTCTATTGTTTTGTGACATGCTTCCTCTGCTAATCACACAATTATTGAAGAAACATGATAATATAAGTAGGAGTACTAGTGTCAAAAAACAAGAGGGTGGGGGACCTGATAATAAGGGAAGAGAGGAGTGGTCTGATTCATAAGCAGGGAAAGGATGAATAGGGAGAGCTGAACTTACTTCTCATCTCTTCCATTGAGTGATGCCTCTGACAAGGCCACAAAATTTGGTCTATGTTTCAGATCAGTGGTTCGATTCATTATTGTTTTGGGTCCTTTCTTTTTTCTTTTTCTTCTTTTTTTTTTCTTTTTTCTCCCAGATTGTTTTGCAATCAAAACTATGATCACCATTGCTACCTTCCAAGGAATCAGAAGAGTCTGGCATACTAAAAGTTAACCTTTTCTTTTCTTTTCTTTTTTTTTTTTTTTTTTGTTTCTTCTTTGTGTGTTCATGAACATATATAATAGAACTATACTCGCATTTAGTTTTAACTAATTATAATTTTGATTTGCACCATATCACACAACCTTTTAATTATTTGTAATAATCATGCAGATGCAAACAACGTTTTATAAGTACTTCTATCGATATAAACTTTTATATACGTAGAATATTTTTCTCCCAAGTTTTAATTATTGTGTATTGTGAATGAATTCAAACCCTAATCATAAAAATATTTGGATCGTTAACAAAAACAACAATTTGGTACCATCTATAAACAATTTTGACGTATAATTATACTATAGCTGAGTCATCTACTAACAGAAATGCATTTGTTTCACAAAAGGCTTTCCTTTCTTTCCTACAAAAACTCAATAATGGAGAATCTGATTAGATACTGATAAGAGACTTATTACCACAAAAAAACTGATAAGATTAATGATAGTGATATAGCATTAAACTAATTAAGGATATTCATTGCTTTTAATAAGCGGCAGTTGTGTAGTCAACTAATTTATAACCTTATACATTTGTCTCTTTAATTTGATCTGAGTACTAAGAAGGCAGGCAGTTGTGTGTCTCAAAATTTAGGGTTTTTCCAATTCAGGCAAAGAATTTCGATGTTCCTTTTGCAGCTTTGTTTGTTTGGTTTTAGAGACTGATACTGCTGATGTTATCCTTTACCAAAAAATGGCAGCAATTAATGAAGACTGTAGTGAGCATCTTTGAGAACAATAACCTAAAATAGTAATTTTATGATTATATACATATAGGACTCCTTTTTTTTTTTTGGGGTTTTTCTGTGTAGAACAGTATGCTTTATTTGGTGCATGCTTCTTTCTAGACTTTTTGCCCCTTTTCTTACAGCAATAATTGTTTTGAACTTCATGCCCGTTGCTGCTTCTGAAGCATCTTCATAACAATAATTTTACCTTTCTCTCTTTGCCATCCTAAGACATGTCAACATCCAATTCCTCCCCTTAATTTGTTGTTTCTATTTTTACTTACTTTATCTCAAACAAAACCTTTGAACTACTGTATCCTCTAATTTTCGCCAAAACAGCCACCCTTTAAAATTTGAAACTTTGTTTAACAAAGTGAAATTAAATAATACTCCTATTGTCCAGTTTGGATTTTCAGTTTTCGTACAAATTGAACTAAAAATGAAAATTCCAAGTGAATAATAACTTTGGGATGGAAGGAGTATTTATTTAAATTTCTTCTTAAGCCTTATTGTAACAATTTGAACTTATATTCATTTTTCATCTTTCTTTTTCAAGAAAATGGTTATAATCACAACTGAAAAACGGGACCATTGGGTTATATTTTGGCTTGAATTCAACTGCAACCACTTGTGGAATTGTGCTCTTTACAGAAGTAGAAAACTTCAATTAAGTTTGATATGAACAGTTTGGCAGCATTGGTTGTTTTCATTTTGCCTGTTTGATTGATGCCTATTGGCATATTAAACCCTAATTTTACAAGTGCTTTCCACATCTTTCAACTGCAACCCCTTTTTCAGTTCAATCTGTGGCTTTACATAATTATTATTGAAGACTACTTAAAACAACTTGAATGAAAAAGTACACCCTACAACTAGCTAGCTATAGTAGGCTTGCTAAAAGAAAATTTTAGTTCTATATACAAGAGGTATATATAAGCATAATGATAGTGACTTACTACTTGAATTTGAAAACCCTAATTGGCTGAGCCAAGAAATGATCCCTCTAAATTTTAATACACAAGGTGGAAACAAGTTGAACCGCTCATGAGTAATTTCGTTCAAATTAAGTAGATAGAGGGAGTTTGAGTGTGGATTATGATGTGTGATTAATGGTTCATCAAACCATTAATTTGATCTTTATTGACATGTTTAGGCCCTAAATTAATCATAAACGTAACACAAGAATGGGTCCTAAGTTACAATGTGGTCTAGATCTTGTTTCAAAAAGTAGTTAACAACATGATGGACCAAATTACATACACACAAATATACATATATATAAAACCAATGATAAATTGTAATTATCTTTCATAAAGCAAAATGCCAAATGATGAGCAAGAAGGATCAGAAGGTCTCAATCTAAAATTCTCTTAGGACCCTGCCGAGCCAATGCATTACACATGACATCCAATTTGACTTTTTTCCTTTCCTTTTCCAAGAAAATAAAAATAAAAGAATATTAAAATTTAATTTTTTTTTTTTTCAAAAATCAACTCTCCACTTGTAGAATTTGATAGTGAGTTGAGATGAGATCATATATACATACAGCTAGCCAGGAAAGGAAGGCATCAGCAAGTAGCACCACAATCACCAGAAGTGTCACCATCCTCAATAAACCCTAAATTTATATGCTCTTCCTTAACTAGTTTAAACAGAATACTTGTGTGTTTTCTTTGGCTTTTCTTAAGGTTTTCCTTTTTCTTTTTTTTTTCTCCTTTCTTTCTTCTTTTTTTCTTAATAAAAAAAATAGAATTTCATCAATCTATTATTATTAATGCATCCCACCACTTGTTCCAGGAGCCGCATTATATGGTTGATGCAATTAATATTTGATTCATATTGAGACAACAAAAGTCATTGTCATGTTGTTCCCCCAGCTTGCTTCTTTTTCTCCTCTTCTTCTTCTTCCTTTCAAATTTTATAAAATCAAAATGTGTACTCTACAATATATAGGTGTCTTGATTGTGACTTTGCCTGATTCAAGAACTACTCTTGTACATGTCTTGGGACCTCTCATTAATTCAACATCTATACATATCACTACTTTCTTTTTGGGCTTTTTTCCCAGCAACATGTGTCTCCATTAATGCATTTGTGCAAGGACATTAGTAAATTTTTAGATTCCATGGATGAAGTTTTCATTTTAATTTGTAGATATACTTGAAGTAAGCATTTACACATGTATATGATTTCTCTTTTCCGTAGTTATTTTACTAGCTAGTGAGGTTGCTAGTCAGTTAACTAAAAAACCCTAAACGAATATACTCCATTTCCCTGTATCTTATTATCTTCTAGAGTAGGTGGTCGATGCAAGGAATTGGCCCTAACTCAAAAGGTTTTCAGTCAATTGATCATATTGGCCATCATTAAAAAAATTAGTCTACTTTATTTAACAAAAAAAGGTAACGTACTAGATGGACTGTATTTCTCAATAGGGTGAGAATATGATTTCTACGTACTTGTTAGAGTATTGAAAATATAATTTACTTTCTCCATCCCAAAAGTATTGTTCTGTTTGATTTTTTACCTTTAATTTAATTTGTACTAAAAATAAAAATCCAAACTGGATAATAATTCCGGAACTGTGGGAGTACTCTACATTGATAACATACATATTTTTTTGTGATACATTCTTTGGGAAACAAGAAGGGTTGTCACACCTTCTAGTGTAACCCCAAGGTTTATACCATAAAAGAACATGCACGCATGGACATCCCTTTGATTCCGCTAATCAATTCATGCATGCATGCATATATACAAGTAAGAATTATGTACAAGTAGCAATTAGTTAATTGGAGGAGATGAATCAATGATTACAGTTTTGTTCATGTTTGGTTTAGATATTTTTGGCAATTGAGAGCGCAAGAAACACAACTATACGTACGTACCTTGTGGATGCTAAGGAAAGCAATGCAAGTGGAGAAGAAAGGGTTAGAGCCCACCATTAATTTTTTTCTCTATTGAACTGATTTTCACATATATCATTAATCAATTAAAAAAAAAAAGAAGAAAGGAAGTAACCATTATTTACAATCAAAACACATGTCAACAAGGAGTGGACCTAAGTTTGTGACTATGTATGATGTGATATGTATCTACCTCTACATGTAAAATCAAGCTCTCCTTAAAACCTGTCAATGAATATATACAAAACACACATGTATATATATATATACTTTGAGATCAACAGCTCTTTTGAACTGATCAATTTAAAGCTTATTTGATGTGGATGATATATCATTGTTGTCTGGAACTGAAAAATATGGACCACTCTCTTCTTTTTTTCCTTCAAGAGGGCCATCCTTTTCAGATGTTGCATTTAAGCATACACTTTGATGATGAGAGGAGATAATGCATGATGTAGTAAGGCATTTTCAGACTTTACTATAGCTCATAATGTGTGGTATCTCCTGGTCCCTTTCTTCTTCCGGGCTTATATAAAGTCACTTGAAGACACAATAAACTTTTTATAGCAAAAACTGAGGTAAATTACTCAGATGGCCCTTACTTAATTTGGAGGTCTTAATTCATTTTAATAAGTTTGGAATTTGAAAAAAGATTAATATATATATATCAATTGAATACAAAAAATTATTATAACTAAATTAATTAATAATTGTGGGTGAAATTGTAACTCAAAGGTTGGAGCTCAAACCTCGACGGGACCAATTCAAGAAGAAAAACCTGTATACATATATTGTAACTGTTGTGTGTGCATGCTTTATGATACTATGAACATTAATTCTCCAAACTAAGTTTGGACACATTGTGATTAAAATGCAGTCAAATCTATATACATGCGGATGTTGTTTTGGTACTAAGATCATGTATGAACCATTAATTAATATATATTCATTAACCTATTAATCAATCGAAGATGAAAGAGACTGATTACAGAGAATTGATATGATCATGTGGATTTGAGTCGGTATAATGAACAATATCTGTCTTTTGTGAGTTTAAGTAATTATAAGAGAGAACAAAACCTAATTTGCTGAGTTGTATAGGTAAAATATCACAATCCTTTAGATATTGACAAGATTTGGAGCATGAGGCTCAATTCTGAAGCATTTGTCACAACTCAGTGTGTGTGAACGGTGAACCTCCTCTAATCTTGTGGTACCTAAGAATTCCATGTACAAGTAACCTGCATCATTCTTTTGTTCCAACGTTAGTTCTTGTCAAGACTAATACATGCATCTTCAGTATTTATTTGACCAGTTAGTTAAGCATCATTCACGCCATGATTTCAGGTAGCAGTCAATTACGAGAGACCAATGACAGCAATACTATAACTCAACTATTTTAAAAAATTACACCATTCTCTCTATATATGTGCTCTCAAAAAAGTTATAAGCTGCGCTGAGTGAAATTGCACGGTGAATGATGTTTTCTTACATAAAAATCGAACGTCCTTTCATCTAAAATTTAACTAACGGGTATGTATACAGTATATACGTTACGTTTTTTTCACCATTTGACTCGAAAATAGCTACTTGAGATGAGGTGTTAATTAGTTGAAGTTCCAAGAGAGTATAGTTGTTGTCTAGGACCACCATTTGTACTATATATTTGTGGTAGCAAAACTGGCCATATGTGTATTGATTGATGTCAAAAAAGAAAGCCAATAACAGTGTATTATCAAAATGAGGTGTGTGTGTGTGTGTATAAGTGCAAAAAGTCCCACCCAAGTGCAATGCAGTGCAAATGCAACTTCCCTTTCAATTCCATCTTCTTCTTCTTCTTCCTTCAAAGTCTTCTTCCATCAATTTTGAAGTGTTTTGTGGGGCTATATAATACTCCCTCCGTCCCATAATTATTGTCCAGTTTGGGTTTTCATTTTTAGTTCAAATTATACTAAAAGTGAAATCTCAAACTGGATAATAATTTTGGGACGGAGGGAGTATTATTTTTACATGTACATATACATAAGTAGTTGTAGAAGTAGTAATGTAAAAACAACTGCCAAAGAAATCATGCCATTGTTCATTGTACTGTCAGTATCATGTTTATGCATGTTCCACCATTTGTGAGAGAGACCAGAAAATGATTGACAAACTCCAGTATTCTTCTGTATACGTACGACAATCTACGTATTTATGTTTGCGGTAACAATTTATATTTATCTCTAGGGTGGATTTCATTAAATGAACCTCTTCCTATCTTTTCAAAAAAAATAACAATCTTCTTCTAAGACTTGTGAAAGTTAATTTGCTTACTCGCCATTTTTATTCCTTAACATTTATGCTTACTTAGCGTTACCGTTATTCTTGCAAACGAGTTTAGGAGTGTAGATATTAGAATTAGTTGGTTTACCAATTTAATTTTGGATAATACTGGTACAAATCCTAAATTTAATGGGAGAGATCAGTAAATTCCAGAGTAGCAAATAGTAAACATTTGATTCACACAATTTCGATAGAATGTTAGGTGTTGTTGGCTCAAAATGCATGGACGAATAATAAGTTATCTTTCCGATGGAATATGTAGCAGAGGGTGTAAAAGGAGTACGTACTACGTATATCTGTATTTCAGAGAAATGTCGTTTCCCAATTTACTTTATTTTTCGAATTTTTTTTTAAAAAAGAAGAAATTTCTCCCTCTATTATGATGGTAAAATCAACAGCTATCCACCCTTCTACTTCAATTCTTTTTAAGCTATAAACAAGTTTAGTTTTGGCTTGTTTACTTGTTGCCATATGTATGTGATCTATTATGTTTGATTTAGTAGGTCAACTAATTAATTTATACGTTTTACTTTGAAGGCTTTTACAACAAGAAGAAAATTAATGTAATTTTGAACTCCGTCTCAAGTTTGATCTTCCTTATTTCGTACTTGTGACCTACCAAAACGGTAAAATGAAGAGGGCCAATCCAGATCCACGCTCCCAAACCCCTCGTTCGTGTCTATCGTCAAAATTTTATTAAACTAGATCATTTGTACTCCTTTCGTCCCATAATTATTATTTAGTTTAAGTTTTGATTTTTAGTTCAAATTATACTAAAAGTGAAATCTTCAATTGGACAATAATTTTGGGATAGAATGATTACTTGCAAACCATTTTTCAAAATATTATTGAAAGAAATGGGGAAAAGGAAAATACATGTAAACGTTATTGGTATTTGGTACATATACACACATCTACCCAAATGAATCAGTACATATGCACACATGACACATCTACCCAAATGAATCAGCTTAAGAGCTAATGAAAATTGTAATAATTTTGGTAGTTATTATGATTTGTCGGTCTCAAAATGAAATAGCACGATTATTTATCTTTAGATATCTGATTGTGAATCTTATTTTTTTAATTATCATACAATACTTTAACATTGATGTTCAACAATACAAAACATTGTAGTTTTCCACCCAAACCTTACACACTTTTTAGACCTATAACAATTTTGAGACAACATTCTAATTGTAGCTTTGCATGCTTAGCCAATAGTGACTCTAATAAAAAGTTTTTGTAAATTCAGCCAATACATATATATCGAGAGGGTTCAAAAAATGGGGACCAAATGTTATCAATGACCATTAAAGTTGGACCATACAGAAATATGTAAAGACGTAGTCAATTAATCTAAACATTCTTGATATTATAAAGCGATTAGGACAAGTGTTCCATGATAGACATCTTCTCTATTTGTTTTAATTTGTTTAGTCACATAACCTTAAATTTTGATTGTTAGGGCTTTAATTCTTTCTTTTTTGTTCACTTAAGACAATGAAAACAAATATCAAATTTATTGGAATCTTTTACGAACCACAAAAACATGTGCTCTTCTAGAATTGATGTTTATTCTCACGTGCTGTCATTTTCAATTGGTTTTATATTACTCTCGCCCCCTGAAAATAAATACATTTTCAATTTCAATAATTATTTGGAAAAATCACTGCCTGTTGTGATTATCTATAATTTATTTATTTATTACAACTCATTAAAAAACACGGAATAATAGAGGAATTTCATTTAATCCATAAGGAGCCCGAATAAAGAGTACCGGTAACAGGCTTTGGAGCCCAAGTCTGATACCATACTCCGTTAACCTTTCCTGACCCATATCCAAATATGGCCCATTCCCAAACGCAGTTTGCTGGAATTTCAGGCTTTTTAGTGATCGTTGAATGGTAGTCGAACGGACCCGCTTTCAATTTGGGGAAAAGCACCCGAATCCGATATACAGTAGTTTTTCAACAAAAAGAATTTGCAAACCCTAATTGTAAGCTAGAAACTCTGGTGATTATTGGACTGAAATGAATGATCGGATTCCAAGGTATTTTATTTTTATTCTTCAATTACTGAAACTCCTAATTTTGAGTCGTTGAATTGCTGCTTTGCATTTGAGAAAGATCGCGCTGACTTTTGTTGTTTTTTCAGCTTTGCGATTGGATGAATAATGAAAGACAAGAACGGTGCTAAACCTGCCACTTCGATACTCCGTCGGATTTGGTTGAATTGTGCAGCTCAGGTGAATTACTATCGCAATGTTATTTTACTTTTCAAATAACTGTTTCCAATGTGATTGTGAAAAAAATGTGAATATGTTACTCTTTGTAAGTTGAAGTCTTTGAATTTATTGTTTTTTTCTAGTTCATGTAAAATGTGAACTACTTGTGATATGTCCCTTTAGAGTAGCAAGAACTGGATGACAAGATTTGGGATTTACTGAAGTTTGTTTTTTTGAATTATGAGTGCACACTGTGGGAAAATTAGGTAAATCGTCATAACCTGCCGCTACGAATTGTCAACACACTGGATCCTTTATAACAATTGAAACTCCCTAATTGTAACAATACATAGAAATAAATTAAGTGTCCAATTGATTAGTTATATTCTGTTTGAAAATTTAATTAAAACTCTCTTCAGGAGTGACCTAAGGGATAAGTGATTGACACATGTCACAAATTTAAAGAGTGTTACGAAAAGTGTTATATCATAAGCGACCCGGATGATTCTCTAGGAATTGCGAATGGTCTTTATGAGTCATTTGTGACCGGATTGATTAAGTTTGTAGAAGTATGCGATGTGGGCTGCAAATTTTAGTTAAGTCTTTTCTTATGAATCATATGAATTTGACTATTCTAAGAAGGTATCAATGTTGTGCAACCCATGATCAACATTTTTCATTATGTTATTCGGGCATCATTTGTGCCAATTTAGTGTGCGGTAGGATCCATTGATAATTTGTGTTTTACGCCTTCTATTTCCAAATCCATCTTTCTCCTTTCTTCAGTATGTAACTATTTTTGCGTGGGAAAAGGAATGTGAACTGCCTTATGCTGGCGTATCCTGGAATTTGAGAGGGGCAAAGAGCTTCTAATGGTTTTATCATATTTTTACAGGCCAAAGAATATGGTAGATGTGTTGCAGCAAAGGTACCTGTTGTCGAACGGGACATGTGCTTAAAAGAATTTCTTATTCTCCAGGATTGCATGCAGAATGTGGTATGTTTGCTTTCTGATGCAACTGAAATTTATTTTAATTTGGTGGTTCATCTTCATTTTTGGTTTTCTTCCTCATAAATAGAATATATATATATATATATATATATGACCTTGCTTTCGCTCTTTCTGCCTGTTTTTGGTTCGATATCCAGCGGAAGGGAAAGTAAACAGAAAAGGCTACACCAGTATCTAGAGGCAAGATTTTCGTAGGTTTGAAAAGGTTTGTTTAATTTTATTTCTAGAAGAATTTAGAGTATAACAACAGTAGGTTATCTTGTTGTAACCATTGCTTCATGTCTGTGCAGTGCTGAAGCTAACATTGAAACTGCATTGTGAAAGTTAGAAGAAATGTCTGGGAAAGCATCGTCCTCACAGTCTTCCGGTTTTAATGGATCTGGTGCCTTGTCACATGTTTATATTCAACATCCCCCTTTGAGGTTTAAAATACCTGGATGTACAAATTTGTTTTATGATGATGGAAGTAAGCTTCTACTTGCTCCTACAGCTAGTCAGGTAATTAAGCATCAGGCTTGGAAAATTTAGGTGTACTTAGCTACTTACTGTAATTTATGTAGATTTGGCTAATTTGGCCCGTTTCTCATCATATGTAGATTTTCTCATGGAAAACTGCTCCATTCGACCCACAAGCTGCCCCATCTTCTGATCCAGTAGCTGGAGGTCCAATCTTATCCGCTAGATATTCACTGGATTCTAAGCTTCTAGCAATCCAACGATCTTCTCAAGAAGTTCAGATATGGAACAGGGAGGGAGGAAGCAATATTAGCTATAAGTGTCGGTCTGAATCAGAACACATCCTTGGATACTTTTGGACAGATTGTCCAACGTGTGATATTGTCTTTGTAAAGACGAGGTATGTGCATGAGAATTTCCAACATTATTCCTTGCAACATTAATTCACTGCATGAAGACTCCATAAAATATTTTCTAAAGTTTGTGACCAGATTGAGAAAATGAAACTTAGAAAGAATATGTCTGTGCATAACCCTGGTTAATTCTTCAGTTTCTTAACACTTTTTCTTTTATGTCCCCTGTCATGAATTGGAAAGATAATCCCCGATCTGCTAACTTTTCTTAATATATTTGCACTTCAGCCTGCATTTTGTAAAGCATGTCTTTGCTTAATGTTGTATTTCACTAAATGCTTTCTTGTTTAGATTGAAGTGATTTTTGTTGTGGGTAAAGAGAAACTCAATATGCTTTTCTGAAGAATTCCTTATTCCTGTTGCATCGCTGTTATGTGGTTGCAGTGGGCTGGACTTTCTCTCATATAATTCTGAATCAAAATCACTTACTGTGGTCGAGACCAAGAAGACCAATGTAAGTTGGTACATATACACACATGAGAGCAGGTTGGTGCTTCTCGCATCAGGAATGCAGTGCAAGAGTTTAACAGGATACCAGGTATATCTAAGCTGGCCAGCTTGTTCACTTTTTTCTTTCCGCTCTTTTGCTTTTTGGCTCTACTGGGACCTGAAAATTGCTGAGAAATACGACTTACCGTTGAAGATTACTATAGATTGACTGTGAATAATACTGTTGTAAGAAAAAAGCCAGGAAAAAACAACTTCCACCTTTTTTGGCTTTTTCTAGTGAAGAATTATTGTACTTGGTTATCAAGAGTTGACATCCCTGAGGGATGTGAATGGATAATTTGTTTGAGCTTCTCAGCTGAATTGCTGTTCTGCAATGCATTATTATTTATTGGGCTAGCTACTTTGTCTTTTTCCTGATCGTTTAATTGAGCTCTGTTCTTTTTGTGGTTAGATTTCTTCCGCAGGAATTGTCCGCTTGCCAAGATTTGAGATGGCAATGGCGAAGTCCGAGGCAAACAGTAAGCCTGTCCTTGCTGCTGAAGATGTCCATATTGTCACTGTGTAAGTTCCTGTTGTTCTCTAATTTTGCGAGATTAATTTATTATATGTAAACTGACTGAAACTTATCTTTTGAATTGACAGTTATGGGAGAATTTACTGCTTGCAGTTAGACCGAGTGGCAATGCTACTCCACTTGTATAGGTTCTATCGAGATGCTGTCATTCAACAGGTTAGATCTTGCTGGACAATAGAAACCTGCTGGAATGTTTGAGACTATTTTAGTTTTTTCTGAAATATTCATGTATAAAGGAGTCTTTCCTTTGTTTTCTGGTCAGCTGCCTGGTTTTTGTCTATCACTGTATTTCCGTAAATTGCTAGTCAATTTTATGAGTTGTCTAGGAGAAAATGACATTTTTTACTAAATTGTAGCCCTGAAAGAACATTGGTTATATCTTTGTCGCTGTCATTTCAACAACCACACGAGCAGATGTGAAGGAAACTCTATTTCGATGGCCAAGCATTTTATGCAGTGGCTTTTATGCAACTTATTGGTCTCATTTTGTCATCAGTCTTTGTTCTGCACTTATTGGAATCTTGCCTTAATGAATTTTTATTGCAGGATTTTACATTTTATAGCTTTTTGTCCTTTTCCCTTTTAAGGAGGCCACAAATTTCTTGAGTTCCTTTACCCTCTGAGAAAGGTTAAATCTTTCAGCAAAACCATAAGAATTTTTTGTTCTGCTTTTCAGCTAAACATTCATCTTCTCTTTCCAGTAATAATTAGAGGTCATATAGTGCTTGAGTCTCTTATTGGTACTTGGTGCTTGTGAATGTGCTTCTCATTGTCTCTTTTCAATATCTGACCCGTTTTTCACTGTTCCAGGGCTCGTTACCAGTTTATTCTAACAGGGTTGCTGTGAGTGCCGTGGATAATGTTTTGCTGGTTCATCAAGTGGATGCAAAGGTTGTTATAATGTACGACCTTTTTTCAGACTCCCGGGCACCTGTATCTGCTCCTCTTCCTCTACTGTTGAGAGGTTTTCCTAGAGCTGGTGCTTTGTCTTCTTCTCAATCTACTAGCTGGAGTACCGGAACTTCAGATACGGTAACTGATAATGAAGCAGTTGCGTATGGAGATGGCTGGTTGTTTCTTGTACCTGATCTTGTATGTGATGCTACTAATGGGCTTTTATGGAAGATAAATCTGGATCTCGAGGCAAGCTTTTGGCTTTTTATGTGTTATGCTTTTTTGTGATCTTGTCCTTCGGGCTACGATAACCTGCTCATATACATGCAGGCCATTTCTGCTAGTACTTCAGAAGTACCTTTTGTTATAGACTTCCTGCAGAGGAGGAGGTCTGAAGCATCTAAGGTATCATGTCCATTTCTTTGAAACCTTCCATACTTTTGGTAATTTATTTTAAGAAATTCCAATCATTTACAACAGAAATGTTCTGCTACTTGTTATGATGATGCTATCTTGTACACTATGTATTCATATGAAATATGTTATATTTACTAATACATTTTTCATTTTAGGCGAAGCAGTTGTGCTTGGCATTAGCTCGCACTATGATTCTTGAAAGGAGACCGGTCTCAACTGTTGCGAGGGCTTTGGATGTTTTAGTCACTGCTTATTCCCAGTCAGTCAGAACCGGCAGTTATCAGAAGAAAACAAAAGCACAGAAAACAATGAATTCTGGTGGTTCAGATGTAAACAGTTCAAGTACACCCATTGAGGATGCCAGCAATCGAGCAGAAGCAATTGGAAAATCTGTCGAAAATATTCCCGAAAGATCTAGTTTTTCTACTTCAGACTCTGATGACAATGTTAATACCGAGACACAGAAAATCAATTCTATTAGATCTGATTCTTCAACTGGTAGTAAAATAGAGGGGGAACATTCCACCAGGACCAGAGCATCTTTTACTGGAGTTTATCAAAATTCTGCAGAATCTCAAATTCCTCGACCTAGTGACGCTCCGTTAAATGCCAGTGCTTCTGAGAATCAGGAGTCTCAAGTGACTTCAGCTGTAACTTCGCTTGAGGATTTGTATAATTTTGTGTTTGCTCCAGTTGAGGAAGAAATGGCTGGAGATTCTTGTTACTTGGTTGCTGTCATTGTCGAGTTACTTCGCAGGTAATTTTCACAAGGGATATTTACACAGTATGAATCTTCCTTTTGTAGGTTTCCCTGTTTAGGAGTTTTGAGTACTTTTGGACGCATATCTTTTCCATTTTCCCGTTCTCCTGCTTAATGAAAAGAGCATGCAAAATTGATCATAAAAGTCTTTTTCAGTCTTATTTCTTACCTCATAAAAATCCATTGGTTTTTAGTTTAGAATGGAAGGATGGGACTGATTATCTCTGAATGGCTTTTCTTTAAGAAAATTCTTTCCAAAGTAGTTACATTTTCTTTCACTGCTCTGCTTATATTTATCAATGTTAATGATACAGGGCTAACCTGGAGAAACTGAAGGTGTGTCCAAGTATATATATCTTGATAGTGAGAGTGCTTGCAAGAAGCGAGCGTCATGCTGAACTTGGATTGTACATCATTAATAAGGTGATTATTCCGAATATGTTCATGTCATAGTTATAGCTCGCTCTTCTTTTTTGTTTTCTCCTGAAACTAAAATATCAGAGCTTGGGTCTACTGTACTACAGATTATTGAGCCCTCAAAAGAAGTTGCTTACCAGCTCATTGAGTCTGGTCGTCTACACTCCCAGACGAGGAAGTTGGGCCTTGATATGCTTAGACAGCTGGCTTTGCATCATGACTATGTTTTGCTACTTCTGCAAGATGGATATTATCTGGAAGCTTTACGTTATGCTCGGAAAAATAAGGTTAATTTCTTGTCCTCCCTTAATGATTATAATCTCATGCCTAATGCATATTTCTTTTCAAAGACATGTTCTAAGTCATTTTTGTTCAGCAGCAACTGGAAAATAACTTCTCCACTTTCAATTTTTTAGTTCAAGCTGTAATGCCTGCTAAAGTGTGGAATATGATTTATTGTTTATAAGATCAATTTTTGTGAACATGCGGCAACTTTCAGGTGAATACTGTGCGACCTGCATCATTTCTGGAAGCAGCATATGCTTCTAACAACTCGCAACAACTTGCTGCAGTTCTCAGATTTTTTTCTGACTCGATTCCTGGCTTTAAGACCACCTCCGAACACAGTACATATAGTCAAGTACTTGCTGAGATGAGTGCATTGATGGTTACTTGAGCTACCTTGCATCAATCCAATGTTGCTTTGGGTTTGGATTTCCCGAAATAAGAGAAGGATAGATGCACGCCGGCATTGTGATTATGGGTGCAGAGATTGATTCTTCTGGTTTATAGTGGTTCGGTGATTTGGTCATTTTGTCCTTCATGTGCAGTGCAATGTAGTGCGTTATGCATGGTGAAATTTGGGAATAAACATCTTTTACTCCAGATATGCTTTTCTCAGTAAATCTTCAACCTAGTGTCATTATGAATGCATCATCAGTTGCCCCGTTTTATACATATTTGCTGTCATCATCTAAGAATTAATAATCATCCTTCAGTTTTATGATCTTTATCTCTGAAAAAAAAACTTCTTGTCAATGCACTACTCATCTGGAAAAAGGTAATGGAAAAGAAAAAAGTAAAAAGAGTAACAGGGAGAACGACAAACATATATACCTCTAGCAAAATCTTCACCATCTAGAAAATTGCAAGTATAACCATTTCATTAATCTAGCGTTCAAGTTGATAAGAATTCAAGGTAAAAATCGTTGATTAATACTCCCTTTGTCCTAAAATTATTGTCCAATTTGAGATTTTACTTTTAGTGCAATTTGAATTAGAAATAGAAACTCAAACTGGACAATAATTATGGGACGGATGGAGTATGTCATTTGGATGGGGAGAATAGGAAATATATGAAGCATTGATAAACCAGTTTCAAGGTTTATTTGGTGCGAAAGAGATTTAGTGAGGTGTTATAAATTAAATCTTTGATAAACCAGTTTCAAGGTTTTAGTGATGCAAAAGATAGAGTGATAAACTAGATTCGATATCATTGTCCTAAGCTGAAGGTCAGTTGGCTTCAAGATTTTCTCGGTTGACAGGATGATCTAAATGAATAATAAATCTATTTCCTGTTATCAGGAATCGGATTTAAGAGACACAAAAATTGGACAACACCAACGCATTATTATATGAGATAACGGGCCCAACCGCAAGTTTGGAATTAAAACTTCTCTAAATTCGAAAGAAGAGCCTCCAATTCCTCAACATGTGCATTTGATTTCCTCGGGCAAAAAGAGAGCAAATTAGAGTTCCTGCCTCACAAACCACGACTTCAATAAAGTCGAACAGGATATCCTCAGAAGGGTCCTCTTCTTTCAGAATGGTTCTCAACAACGTCAGTTGCTCAGAGAGTTTCAGCATCTGGTGTTCACATTCGTCCACATACCTGCCACCAAGGATCAGTAACTTCAGTTGTAGCTCTGAACCCAACAGTAGCTGCGAAAGAAGAAAGACGAGGGAATCAACAGAGCACACCAACATTAGTCTACGGCTTCCCTCTAACAACTCCCCGGAAGAAGATGGAGATTTTGAGGCTTGCTTTAGGACTCCAATATATATACATATATATACGTATCACGAACCTGGGATTCGACAGGCTTGATACTCTTCGTAAGTTGGTAAACATGATACCACTTCTCACGATAGCCATTATACCAACACTTGAAAATGAGGCGAGCAGCACGGGCAACAAAATCTTGAATGTGAGGGCGGCAGCTGGGCTCGAGTCCCCAGATCGCGACAAAAATGGAGAAGGTTCTTCAAGAATCTCACATATTCTGCGCAGACAAGAATGCTGGAATCGAATGAATGGAAGACTTCTGGCCAAACAAAGGAGTGGACAGTGTGACAAGGTTTGCGAATATTCGCAGACTTAAATGTCTTCTCATTAAGGCTCCATTTATTAGCAAGGTGGACAGGTGACGCGCCAAATGATTGAGGTATCTGATCATTGTGAATCTGTGTCTAGTTCAATCACGCAAATTCAAAAACAAAAGATGGATATGGGCAATGTGGACCTGAAGGTCGCATGGATGGAAGTTTTTTCATTGGTTCAGCGAGAATTTCCATAATGTAATCATGTGCAAGATTTTAGAGCTTGTACAGAGTCTGTATGTGTTCTTTATAATCTTTCTTCTGATAGCATGTTCACGTAGTACTACGTACAATATATTTGGTAAATATACCTTAATGGCGTAAAAATGATTTGGCATCAGATATGTGCATTTCTGCATGTCTGACATTCAGTTCACAATTTGGCATTAATTGAACGTTAACTCCTTTAAAAGATATATATACCGCCATCGCCACAGCAACATCGTGAGAATCCATTCTGCCAAAGAACAAATCACAGAGAGTAAGAAAGTATATACAAGGCTTCTACAAAGCAAAAGGCGAGACAATGGTAACCGCTGATGAAATACATTACGAAAAAGTGATTCCCATACAAAATATTATTTTCAGCCAATGAAACAGTTCAATCCAAAGTAACTTCAAGGACCCAAAGTTCCAAACCATACCACTTCACAAGACTTGTTGACAACAACTTCATTAACAAATCATCAACCATCAAAGAGTAAATGCTTTGCCCTAAAAACTTCCACTTTAGACTACTGGATTTCGTAAACTATCGCCACCAACAAAAATCAAAATTTGCGGAAGAAACATGTAAACAAATTCGAAACATCTAACCCATCCCTCAAAAGAACGTAATCGCTATAGTGGTAGCAAATGATTCAGACAAAAAGTGTTCATTAACAGAAACATTGAACACCCAGACATTATGAAGAATTATAAATATTCAGGCTCCTCCGGCTTACCTTACCGGTCCAACCATGAGGTTAAATGTCCTTTAATCGTGAAGGATGAAGCAATACTTCAAAATCCTCATTTCCAATTTCCCTCTGTAATTCCTCAAGTTGCCTTATTGAACCAACTGCAGATTCGCAGTCATACACCTCTATCTTTTGAAGAGAACATTCGGCTATATAGTAAGGGACTTCCTCTAAGTGCGGGCATCCTTCCAATACCAGTTCCTCCAGACACGGAAAATTATCTTCCGAGTCTATTCTCCACACAGCAAAATCCAGGTCTGCTAACTTCAGAAATCGGAGTCTGGGGAATGCCACTTCGTCCACAGCCCATATTTCCCCTGTGAATGCATTGTCCAGTAACTTGAGAACCTCAAGATTTGGCAGTCTATCGATTGCTGAAATTTTACTCCATGGAAGCTGAAAAGTTTTGAGAACTAGCTTTTTTAGATTCATGGGGAACTGAAAGTGCAGGCCATGAAATCCTCTGTGGTATGAATGAATGGTGAGTGATTCAAGATGACTCATAAAGTCTGGTGCTAGGATCGGGCAGCAATGCCCAATACATGCTCCTGCCCTGACCAGGTTGTATTTAAGTCTACGAATATTGGGAAACTTTTTCATTAGCTTCTCTATAGTACCATCACAAGAGAATTCTACCATTGAAAGAGTCTCCAAATTGTGTAAACTGGGGGTATCTTCAAGATTAACTTTTGGGAACACCCAACGAGCAGATGCACCAATTACACACAGGTGCCTTAGTTTTTCCATGTTCCACACGGTGTCTGGCAGGAGAATACAAAGTGGACGACTTGCCTGAACAACAAAAGTCATCAAATATGAGAGGGTCCCGATTGTGGAGGGAACGGTTAGTTTTGTGCCTTCAATGACAACCGACAAGGCCAAGTACCTCAAGTGAACGAGTGATTCAATCACTCGTGGGAAGAAGGGCCCCGTCGTGATTCTTCTAACGTCTAAAACTCGCAAGAGCCTGGATTGGACTAATTTGCTCCAAAGATTGTACCCATCTCGTTCGTTCCTTCTTTCCAAATCGGCCACGACAAGGAAACTGCGTAAACGAGGACAAATCAGCCTTGACTCTGCAAACTCCTCCACTCTCCCACCCTCAACACACAGCCGATATAACATGCTTGGCTCAATGGAAGAAGTATCAAGCTTATCTCCTCCATGCGAGATGTGCAGAAACTGTTCTTCCTTGCATTTTACCTTACAGAAGTCGTATAACAGGTCATGAAGAATGCAAGATTTTACCCTATTTCTGGACCCTCTTTTAGCAACCATTACTAAGTTTCTATCAATTAAATCCAATAGGTAGGATTCTGCAGTATCCTCTAAGCTCTTTCTTTCACCCGTCTCTACGAATCCTTCGGCAATCAAGAGTCGAATCAATTCTCGAACATGTACCTCTTGGTGTTCCTTAAATGTTCCTAAGTAAAGAAAGCAGGGCTTCAGATAATCTGGCAAATGATTATAGCTTAACTCCAACGTGTCCATCAATCCTTGTGTAGTCGACGAGAAACCTCCTACCTTTAGACTTTCTTCAACCTCCTCCCAAGTATTCCAGTTCATATTTGAAAGAGTTCCAGCCACAGCAAGAATCATCAGAGGCAATCCCTTGCAATAAGACGCAATTGTCTTCAACCGCTCTATTTGTTCTGTAGGACAGCCTTCTTCTAAAACTAAATTCATCCGCAGAAGTTCCCAGCTCTCATCATCCGTGAGTGAACGAAGACGGTGAGGTTCACTATCTGCTTTGACTTGGAGAGCCACAGATTCAGATCGGCTTGTCAATAGAATTCTACTTCCATTAGCATCATTTGGGAATGAACCTCCCAAGCTATTCCATGCAGCAATATCCCAAACATCATCCAAGACAATAAGATACCTTTTTCCCTTTAAGCAACTGTAGAGCTTTAAAGACAATTGTTGCTCATTCATATCAGAATGCCTGTTACCAGCCTCCAACTCATCCAAATCACCCAATATCTGAAGTAACAAGGCTCTCCTGTTGTATACTTGAGAAACCAAACACCACGAATGAACAGGAAAGTGATAACGGATAGAAATATAACGGTAAACTTTCTTCGCAAGAGTTGTTTTCCCCAATCCAGCCATACCCACAATGGAAACAACGTCCAACATTTTTGTTCCTCTTAGAAGTCGAGCAATCACATGCCGGGCCTCATCCTCCATGCCCACCACAGATTCATATGCATTGTATACTGGAATTTTATTTGTCAATGGCATCGTCCTACTGGACGTTTTAGTAATTCCAGCTGCCGGCCTCCTGTTATGAATACTTAGTGATGCCTCAGCCATAATAATTTTGATTTCTTCTGTGATGCTATTGAGCAGCATAACACTTCTCTGGGGAGCATCTCCGTGCACTAAAGAATCAAGGAAAAATTCGGTCTCATAGGCTATGGCAGTAATGCGGCTCTGAAGAGCTTGGAGCTGTCCATTTTGGTGGTGCTGTTCCAGAAGATGAAGCAGAAAGGATCTCAAAAGGACAAGATCATCATAGAGAGTTTGAAGCGTATTCTTTGCCAAAGGGGCTATTGAAGAATCAGCTTTATGTGGACTGACCGAGGCTATTTTTTCAGTTAAGGAATCAATAAACCCCAGAACGTTGGTACGAGGAAAAATGGATGCTGGGATTGGTTGGAATTTCAGTGAGCCTTGTTCTGCCCTGATGAGCTTAAACTTCTCCTCAAGCTCTGTAAATTTCTCAACCAAGCCGCCTTCATTCTCTTTAGGAAAAAGGTTACAAATTAAAGCTCCCACCTCGCAAATCAGAGCTCCAGTATGGACTTGTGTTTCCTCAGAAAAGTTCTCTCTCAGAATGGTTTTCAAGAATGTCAGTTGCTCGTAGAGCTTTTGCAACTGATGGTTAAAGACGTCACTGTAACTGCTACTGAAGAAGAATAGTAGCTGCCAAAGAAGAAACTGGAGGGAATCAACAAAGTCTTCTTCCACTTTAGTACTTCTGCGGCTTTCCAAAGTGAGATGGCGGGATGACGACTCCGACATTGCCCAAGCTTCCTGCAGGATTCCAACATAAATCCCACAAACATGAGGTTCAACAGGCTTAATCATTTCTGTAAGTTGGTACACATTATGCCACATCTTCCGGTAGTCGTCATTAGACAAAGACATGAGAGTAAAGCGAGCAGCATTGAGAAGGAAGCCTGGAATGTGAGTCAACTGATCTTCCATCTTTCTGGGCTCAATTCCTCGAGAAGTGGCGAACAGGATAAAGTTCTTCAGGAACCTTACATATTCTTCAAGGTCCTCAATTGGACCCGTGGAATCGGTACCGAAGTCGCGGTTTTGCAGAAGATCTCGGAAATTCTGAAACAGAGAATCAATGATATCCACCATTTGTACTACTACTTCCTGATGAGGAGAAGAAAGGCTCGTTTGTGAGAAAATCCGGTAGAGCTGCTCCATCTCTGGAAGAAACGACTGCCGGATGTAATTCAGGAATTCAGAAACCCACTTCTGGACATGATCCAATAAGAGATCGGGAGACTGAAATTTCTGAGCGTGTTCCCGAATAGTTTCTTCAATGCGAAGCAAGATAGATTCACAGCGGTGGCCTTTCCCCCATTTCTTTCCACACATGTAAAAAGTTCTCAGAAACCTCAACAGCACCTTAAGATCCCCAAGTTGGGATGATTCCAACTCGGGAAATCTGGAGTACATCGAGTCTAGAAGGTCTAACCCGGTTTGAACACAGTTGTCGATGGCCATGGTCTCTCTCTCTCTCTCTAACAGATCTTAGATTGGTGATAGTTTCAAGCAGCAAATTTTCAGAGTTGACTCCTTAATCACTAACAAGCTGACAGATATAAATCACCACACTCCAACTGAGATACAGCAACTCTGTATCCAAAAGAAAAGAAGAAAATAAAAAATTTGCAAGAACATATATAAGTCAACCTAATGCATCTAAGTACAACCAAATTTCATGAACTGAATTGAATTGAAGTTTGTTAACCCAAAAAAAAAAAAGAATCAAACCAGATTGAAGTTAAAGTCAACGATAACAACAAAGAAGTAGTACTCCATTTGTGATACAAAAATTAAGACAGACCTTGTGGACGGAGCTTCTTTAAATCTTCTTCCAGTTCCAGGGGAATCTCATCACAAAGATCTAAGACTCCGTGTACTGTATTTTTCTTTGCAAACCACTTTGTTGACACTTTGTTGACAACCAACCGTGTACTGTATTTTTCTTTGACATTATTATTGCAGAAAATAAAGTTGAAACCCAGAAAACCAACCAGGCTGTGACTTGAGAGACACAGATGGTTCAACCGACTCAACTCTTCCGTATTAAAATTTACAAAAGTTAAAAACTTAAAATACATCTTCAACTTGCATTAGTTTTTTCTCTTCTGAAGGGAGGAAAAAAAAAAAAAAAAAAATCTCAGCAGCAAATAAAGTTAAACCAGAAATTCAAGCTCTGAAGAAGTCAACCAATGAGACAAAAGATGTCTCAATAAACTCACCAACCAACTAGTATTAATAAAATTAAAATACAGACCAAAATTTGCATTAGTTTGTTTGTTTGAGCATTTTTTTTTTTTTTTCTTTTGAGGAGAATGGGTCGGGGAAGTCATATGATTAGTGCTGTGAACGAACCACTTCGCGAGCAATTCATAACTAACTTGGTCAAAACTTTGCTTTAATTTAACTTTGACCGAGCTCGAGCCAAATTCGAATAATTCGATTAGATAGACGAATCGAACACAAGAATTAATATATTTAATTCGAGAACTCGTCGAGTCTATTCGAACTTATTATAAATTATTTTATTTTTATTATGAATAATATATAATTCATGAAAACTTTTCTTTTTATTCCTTAAAAATTATTGTCCTTTATATTTTGAAAATGTAATAATGGGACATACATATTTTTTATGATTTGTCAAATAATTTTGCTCATAGAATACATAGATTAAATTTGTTGAATTAAAAATGACAAATATTAAAATTTATTCGAGCTCAATATTATCAAACATTCGAGCTTAATTTTTATCAGACACAAAAATTCAAGCCAATCGAGCCGAATGCGAGCTATTCGTTTTTATTTCGAGCCAAACTCAAATTTCAATTTAGATGTTCGATCGAGTTCAAACTCGAATATGAGCTCCAAAGTTTTTGTCGAACTCGAGCTCGAGCACATAACTGTTTGGGCTTGACTCGGTTCGTTAACAGTCCTACATATGATATACTCTCTACATTGTTTAAAAATTTTAAACGTAAATACTTAAAGATCCGGCGGCGAATGAGGGAAAACTACATATGAGACTCGCTCGAGACGTCAAAAAGATCATGGAAATGTTGGATCTTTTTGAACACTAAAATTTGAACTAGACGAATGGAGGGAGTACTTTTAATGACAAGGAGGAAACTGGAAACGTAACATGAAGTAGTTTGAATCACATAATGTTCTCTAACAATTTACCCTGCAGGAGGATGGTTGGATTCGACCGACATGTGTAAGTAAAGGCTACTTGGAAGGAAATCCTTCTACAATGAAGTAATGACGAACAAACAGCAGGCAAAACCTGAAAAAAAAAACAGAAAAAGCTTTCTGGTCACCAAGACAAAAACCCAAGTTACCATCAAGAAAACATGGAAATGCTTCAACCATGACATCCACATTAGGATTTCACTGTTCATAATTTTGTAACACCCCTTTAACTGGTTCTCAAAAACTGTATATTTTGACCAAACCATTCATGTGACGAACCTTTCAGCTCTACAATTTAACAAGGGCTAACTGATATGGACACGTACTGCATGAACTTCTACATGCTTTTCTAGGCCAATATACAAGTTCTCTTTGCTGTAACAGCTCCAGCTTCTCAGGCACTAGTATTCTTCTGCAGATCCGCTACAGATGCTAGTGGTATTGATTCCGTGAGAACCTGATACCTATGAAAATAGTGCAGTCAGACTTAAATCCACAAACATCGTAGGTTTTCATTCCATGAAACTAATATTGTAAAGCATACTCCAAGAGCCCTAGACAGAGTCATATCTATGACATAAAACTGCAAAATTACTAACATACTCAGCTCCTAGTTAAAAAACTTCATTTAACATACTACTAAAAAAGAGTACAAAGACAACAGGCTTCATGGAAGAGTAATGTTGAAAGGATAGGATTTCTGAGAAGGCTTACCTTCTGAAGCCAACAATGACTCGGGCATGCATGCTGTCATCATGAATGATGAATAAGGATCTTCAAGAGCTCATCTCCCGTGAGTTCCATCTGTTTTTCTTTAATTTGCTTTATTGAACTAGTGGCATTTTCACACTTAGAAACCTCAATCATTGCAAGATCTGGAATATGCGCTAAACAGAGAGGGACTTCTTTCAGGCACCGGCATCTTTCCAAAACTAACTTCTGAAGACAGGGAAAATTATCATCTGACTCTGTCCCTGTCCAACTGACTAATTCCAAGTCTGCCAACTTCAGATACTTCAGTTCGGGGAATTTCCCTTCTTCCATGTCCCATACTTCCCCTGTAAACGCATTGTTCAGGAGCTTGAGAACCTCAAGGTATGGTAGTTCATCAATTGCTGAAATTTTATTCCATGGCATGCACAACCCTGACAGAACTAGCTTCTTTATATTCAGGGGAAACTGAAAGTGTAAGTCATGAAATTCCTGGTGAACCTGAGAGAGAGTGAGTGATTCAAGTTGACTCATCTCATCTAGTGATAGAGTCTTGCAGCTCCCAATGCATGCTCCTGTCTGTATGAGATTGCATTTAAGTCTACGGATATTGGGAAACTTTTTCACCACTGCCTCCATTGTATGACTACAAGGAAAAACAACAGTGGAAAGAGTTTCTAAATTCCCCAAATCAGAGCAATCTTCAGGATTCTCTTTTGGCAACTCCCAACAGGCGGACTCGCTGATACACAATTGCCTCAAATTTTTCATATCCCACATAGTGTAAGGCAGCGAAACACGTAGTCGACTTCCTTCAATGATAAATGTCTCCAGGTTTGAGAGATTGCTAATTGATGATGGCATGGCAAGTATCTCACCTTGTATGGACAAGGCCAAGGCCAAATACTTCAAGTTAACATGTAACTCGACTACTCTTGGAAAGAAGGGACCCAAATTGATTCTCCTTAAATCCAGAACTCTCAAATCTTTCGACTGGCAAAGCTTGTACAAAACATTGAAGCGATGTCTTCTATACCATTTTTCATTCTCAGAAACAACAAACAGATTGCGTAAACGAGAGCAAAGAAGCCTTGATTCTAGCAAACCTTCTCTCCTAGGGTAAAGACGCGACCGATATAATATGCTTGGTTCTATGGAAGTACCGAGCTGATATGCATTTAAGCTATGCAGGAAGTTCGCTTCTTTGCCTTTTGCCTGGCAAAAGTCACGTAACAGGTCATGAAGGATGAAAGATTTCACTCTGCCTGAGGACCTTTTCTCAGCAACCATAACTAGACTTCTTCGGACTAACTCCATCACATATCCCTCAGCGACATCTTCCAAGCACTCTCTGTCAGTTATCTTCACCAATCCTTCAGCAGCCCAGAGCCACAACAAGTTCCTAACAGGTACCTTAACGTACTCTTGATATGCTCCAAGGTAAAGGAAGCATGGTTTCAAATCTTTTGGCAAATGAGAATAGCTCAAATTTAAGGTTTTCTTGCACTGTTCTATAAAAGACAGTTTACCTCTCCTTAAACTTTCTGCAACTTCCATCCAAGTATCTGCCTTCGTGTTTGCAAGGATACCACTAACAATTAGAACCGTCAGCGGCAATCCTTTGCAAAGTTGTGCAATCTCTCTTCCAAGTGCAAGTACAGATTCAGGGCGATCCTCTTCATAACATATCTTTTTCTGCATAAGTTTCCAGCTCTCATCATCATTAAGCCAACGAAGACGGTGAGGTTTTCTGTCTGGTTTTATCTTTTTCGCCACACCATGATCTCGACTAGTCACCAGAATTCTGCTTTCATTAGCATCAGTTGGGAATGAATTTAGCAAGCTATTCCACACTGCAATATCCCACACATCATCCAAGACAACAAGATATCTTTTTCCCTTCAGATGCCTGTAAAGCTTAATAGCCAAATCATCTTCATCCATTTCCGACAGCTTGTCATCATTAAATTTATCAAAGTTGTTCAAAATCTCAAGCAACAAACTTCTCTTGCTATATACTTGGGAAACGCGGCACCATGAACGAGCAGAAAAGTGATGAGTGATGGCAGGATCACGGTAAACTTTCTTGGCCAGGGTTGTTTTCCCCAATCCAGCCATACCAACAACGGAAACAATGTCCAACAATTTGCCTCCTCTTTTGAGTCCATCAATTATTTTTCGTGCCTCATCATCCAAGCCCACCATGATCTCACCCGCAGATAGCATCTTATTGAAAGATTCTGAGGCTTCAGTCCGAATAAGGTTGATATCTTCTGTGATGGTATCAAGCCGCATAACTAGACTCTGATTAGCATCTCCAGCCAGGATAGAATCAAGGACAGAGTCTGTCTCATTGGCTATGTCAACAATGCGGGTCCGAAGAGCTTGGAGCTTCTCATTCTGATTGCAATGTTCCATAACATCCTCCAAAAAGGATCTCAAAAATATTAGTGCATTTTGAAGAGTTTTAAGCTTATCCTTTTCCAAAGCAACTGAATCAGCCTGACATGGACCGAATTTTTCCACCACAGAATCAATGAACTCTAAAACATTGGATTGAGGAAAGTGGGATGCAATGGTTACTGAATATTTATGCGCCTCCATTTCTGCCTTAATACGCTTAAATTTTTCTTCCAAATCTGAAAATAGAAGCTCCAATGTATTAAGCAAGCCTCCTTCATCTCTTTTTGCAAAAAGATAGCAGATCGTAGTTGCCGCCTCGCAAATCACAATTCCAACAAGGCCATGGATTTTATCATATAGCTCGTCAAATTTACTTTGAGTCTCCTTCAAAATGGTACTCAAGGATGTCAGTTCATCATGGAGCTTTTGCATTTGATGGTTGAAGATGTTCACAGTACAGCTGGTACCCACCACTAATAGCCCACCAAGGAGAGTGAGAAGGGAATCAACAAAATCCCTCAACAACAATTTATTGTCTCCTGGAGCAGGGTGATGTGATGAGAGTGAAAATTTTAAAGCTTGCAGGACGCGAACATAAATCTCACCAGTACGGGAATCAAGAGGCTGAATTCTTTCTATAAGTTGGTAAATATAATACCACATCTTACGGTAATAATAATACCTGGACATGAAAGTGAGGTGAGCCGCATTGAGAAGCAAGTCTCCAAAGTGAGTCAATAGCTCCTCCATCTGCCAATGCTCTAGTCCTCCAAACATGGCAAAAAGAAGAAAGTTTTTCAAGAATCTTACATTTTCTTTAAGGTCCTCAACTGCAACTAAGGGAGCCGCACAATAGTTCTCCTGCTGCAGAAGATCTTGTAAATTGTGAAGAAGGGACTCCGCGATACCCACAAGGAGGTTGACTTCCTCAGGAGAGGATGGACCAGTTTGCGATGAGCCATCTAAGAAAACCAGGTACAGTTCCTCCATTTCTTGAAGTAATGACTGCTGGATGCAAGCAAGAAATTTAGAAATCCCCTTGTCGAGAAGAAGCCATTTCAAATCAGATGCCACTTGATCATCCCTCAATCTGAGAGCGGTGGACTCAAATTTCTGAGCTTGTTCTCCAACGATGAGCTCAATGCGGAGCAACACAGATCTGCAGCGCGCATCTTTTCCCCACTTCCTTCCACACATGTAAAACGTTCTCAGAAATCTCAGGTGCACCTTCAGATCCCCAAGTTGAGATGATTCCAGCTCAGGGAACTGAGAGTGTATTGATTCTAAAACGTGCAAGGCAGTTTGAACAGAGTACTCAGTGGCCATATTTTTTCTTAGCAACTATGAGATTAGTGCAAGGGAGCTAGAGAAAATGAAGCTTCAGGGGTCAACTCCTATCGCTAAGAAGATGATTCCCACTCAGATGCTGTTTTGGGCCTTTTGGCAGTTCAACAGTTTTTCTCAACAAGATTGCAATCAATGAAGACAAACCCCAAATAAAAGGTTAAAACCAAAGAATCAAGCTTTGAAGAAGTCAACCAAAGGAGAGCAGATCGTCTGTCAAGCGGTATCCTGTCCTGCTATTTCCATAGCCCAAAACGACGACGCTGTGCTTAAAAATGGCTGGACAAAAATAATTTTTGTTCGAAAACTAATGTCTAATGCAATGTTCCAAGCAAAGATTCTAGTAAATTATTTAGTTAGGAGATGATATATTTAATTTATATAACTTCTCTACTAGAGACTTTAATATAATAACTTTATAATAATCAAAATGTTATGAAATAATTATAATGCTTAAAGGGAGAGAGAAGGGGTGATTAAAAGAAGAAATAAGGTAAGAAGCAAAGTAGGAGGAAATTTACTCATGTATATTTTTAGATTAATTTTACCACTACATAAGCCTCCTATTTATAGTTATCACCTAATGGCAATTTTGTAAATATATAATAAATAGGTTTACATCAAAATCAAAGTACTATACTTAATAGTGTTACTTGCTTAATGCATGCTCACATTTAATATATATTTTGCCATTCATTTTACAACACTCCCCCTTGGATGGCAAAATTTTTATTGATTATGCTTAAATACTGCCTCGTTAAAAACCTAGCCAAAGAAAAACCCAGTGGGAAAAAAAACTTTGGCTAAGGAAAAAAAGAGTACAGTGCGTAATTTTCTCCCCCTAATAATACTATTGATAATTGTTCACATGTTGTGTAGGCGTTGCATACTGATGTTATGAACATGCTTTCTAAATGTTGTAGTATGAAGCGTCTTCGTGAAGAGATCAGCTGAATTATTATTTGACATGATATATTGAACATCTATGTCATTTTTCTTGATGAGCTCTTGAGTATATGCGAAGAATTTCGAAGGTATATGTTTCGTCCGGTCATTCTTGACATATCCTTCTTTTAACTGTTGAAAACATGCAGAATTATCCTCATATAAGATAGTTGAACCTTTCTCAACTGGTAGACTACATGATGTTTTGATGTGCTGTATCATCGACCTAAGCCAAACACATTCTCTACTAGTTTCGTGCAATGCAATTATTTCTGCGTGATTTGAAGAAGTAGAAACCAATGTTTACTTCTGTGGACGCTAAGAAATTGCAGTTCCTCCATATGTAAACACATATCCAGTCTGAGATTATCTATTGTGAGAATTAGATAAATAACATGCATCTGCATAACCAACCAAATCTTGTTTCGAGTCATTAGGATAAAATAAGCCTAAATCAATTCTTCCCCGAAGATAACGAAATATGTGCTTGATCCCGTTCCAATGCCTTCTTGTTGGTGATGAGTTGTGTCTTGCTAATAAATTAACTGCAAAAGAAATGTCAGGTCTAGTACAGTTAGCAAGATACATAAGAGCTCCAATTGCACTGAGGTATGGTACTTCTGCGCCAAGAATCTCTTCATCCTTGTCAGGGGGGCCAAATGGATCCTTTTCAGTTTTGAGTGTTCTGACGATCATAGGAGTACTTAAAGGGTTTGCTTTATTCATATTAAAACGTTTTAAGACCTTTTGTGTAATTTGACTGATGTACAAATATTCCATTGTGCATATGCTCAATTTGTAAACCAAGATAATACTTAGTTTTACCAAGGTCTTTCATCTCAAATTCCCCCTTTAAGTATGCAACCACCTCATTAATTTCCTGTAATGTTCCAATGATATTTAAATCATCCACATAGACAGCTATAATGGCAAATCCGGATGTTGTTTTCTTAATAAAAACGCATGGGCATAGGACATTATTTGTATATCCCTTGTTTATCAAATATCGCTTAATCGATTATACCACATGCGTTCAAACTGCTTTAACCCATATAATGATCGTTGGAGTTTGATAGAATACATCTCTTTGGATTTTACACTTAAAGTTTTTGGCATTTGAAATCCCTCGGGGATTTTCATATAAATATCACTATCAAGTGATCCATACAAATAAGCAGTAACAACATCCATAAGACACATTTCTAATTTTTTAGAAACTGTAAGGCTGATTAAAAACCTGAAAGTAATTGCATCCATAACGGGAGAATATGTCTCGTCATAATCTATTCCAGATTTTTGAGAAAAACCTTGTGCTACCAATCTAACCTTGTACCTTATAATCTCGTTTTTCTCATTCCGTTTTCGTATAAAAACCCACTTATATCCTGCCGGCTTTTACAGCCGTTGGAGTAAGAACAATTGGCCCGAAAACATTTCGCTTGTTAAGCGAATCTAATTCAGCTTGCATATCTTTCCATTTTATCCAATCTTGTCTATTTTGACATTCAATAACTGATTTTGGTTCAGGATCATCATTTCCATTCATAATTTCATTTGTAACTGTGGAACAAAAAATCTCATTGTCACATTCAACTTCATCTCTATTTAACAGTATATTTGTACTGTTATAGTTGATTGAGATTTCTTCATTTATCCTTTTTGTGTCCTCTTCTTGGGAACTTTCTTCATTCTTCATTATCCCAAGAGATATTTCTCAGGATCAACGTCATTCACAGTTCCCTTCCTTTTTCGAGGATTTTTATCCTTTGATCCCATTGGTCTATCACGCTTCAGTCGTGGTTTAGACTCGCTAGTGACTTTATCGTCGATTTTTTCTTTCGGAATCTCAATACGAGCGGGAGCATTAGCTGCTGGTATATATGACTTATAAACTCTTTTTGTGTTAGTAAATGAATCAGGCAATTGATTTGCAATTAATTGCAAATGTACAATCTTTTGAACTTCTGTCTCGTATTGTTTTGTGCGAGGATCAAGATGCAAAAGAATTGGTTGATTCCATGTAATATCCCTTGCCAATTCTTTCTTTTCTCCCCCTAATATTGGGAAAATAATTTCATTAAAATGGCAATCGGCAAAACGTGCAGTAAAAACGTCGCCTGTTAAGGGCTCAAGATATCTTATGATACTAGTTGATTCAAAACCAACATATATCCCCAATCTCCTTTGAGGACCCATTTTTGTACATTGTGGAGGTGAAATGGGTACATATACTGCACAACCAAAAACTCTGTGGTGCGAAATATTTGGTTCATATCCCAAAGCCAATTGCAGGGGAGAGTATTTATGATCTGCACTTGGTCTTATGCGAATTAAAGAAGCAGCATGTAATATCGCATGGCCCCAAACAGAAACTGGCAGTTTTGTTCTCATGATTAATGGTCTAGCAATGAGCTGTAGTCGTTTAATTAATAATTTTGCTAAACCATTTTGTGTATGTACGTGAGCAACAGGGTGCCCAACAGTAATTCCAGTAGACATACAATAATCATTAAATGCTTGAGACGTAAATTCACCAGCGTTGTCAAGTCTAACCCTTTTGATTGCATAATCAGGAAATTGAGCTCGTAATTTTATAATTTGCGCAAGAAATTTTGCAAATGCAACATTCCAGGTTGACAGTAAACACACATGTGACCACCTACTAGATGCATCTATTAATACCATAAAATATCTGAATGGTCTACATGGTGGATGTATCGGTCCACATAGATCACCTTGGATTCTTTCAAGAAATGTAGGTGATTCATTTTGAATCTTTAATGGTGATGGTCTCATTATCAATATTCCAAAAGAACAAGCTTCATATGGAATTCCATTACTCTGCGGGATCGTTTGTCCCTTTAAGGGATGACCATGTGTATTTTTAATAATTCTTCGCATCATTATAGATCCCGCGTGGCCTAGTCTTTCATGCCACAAATTCATTACAGAATGATCGAACAATTTTTCTTTCATTGCCATATGTGATTCAATCACATTTATATATGTATAATGCAAACCATTAGAAAGTGGCAATCTCTCCAATATTCTTGCCTTTTCCGATTCATAAATAATGATATTCAAATATTTCATATTGTCAACAGTCATTGATTGGGTGTCATACCCATTTCGATATATATCATCAAAACTCAACAAATTTCTTGTTGAATTTGGTGAAAACAGGACTTCATTAATCACAATTTGTGTTCCTTTTGGCAATGTGACATTGGCTTTACCAATCCCTTCAATCAAATCTGTTGGACCTGATATTGTATACACAATCGCCTTTGTTGGCTTTAACTCTGAAAAATATTCTCTGTTTTTCAGAATAGTATGTGTAGTGCCACTGTCTGCAATACAAAAATTTCCAACATGCCCTTTTTGTCGAATTTCCATGTCAAAACTTCAAACAAAAAAACAATCAATCAGTTATTATCAAGTAAAGAACATTAAAATTAAAAGTCACAAATCAAAACATAAATATTATCACAATTATCAAGTTCATAGTCTAAAAAAAACATAATGCCATACATTGATTCATAACATTATAAGACCATACAATGATCATTATTATTACAACATCAAGACTACTCATTCAGACATACACTCATACATTGATACCATGCACTAAGACACAAGGATCATACACCAATCCATTATTATTACAACATAAATATTACACACTTAGACACAAGGATCATACACCAATCCATTATTATTACAACATTAAGACCCATACATAATTTTTGCTTCATACTGGTGGGACAACTATTTTCCCTTAATTATCAGCAAAGTCTTCACTGAAATCCAATGCACTCAAGTTTGTAGCATTATCCACTGTTCAATAAGGTTTGCTTCCTTCTCTTTTCCCTTTGATTCCTTGTACAGTTGGCAAAGATGTGGTGATG